ATGACATGAGCATTCGGGCTAAAAACAGCGCCCGCAGCAGAATGCTGTTTCCCTGCACACGGTTACACGCCCACATACAGGGACACTCCTGTGCATGGGTCCATGCCTCCAGGAAGACCTGCGAGTCTGTACACATGCTGTGTGCGCACCACAGTGGCCTCTGCGTGTGGAAAGCTAAGGATCAAGAACTAGTGTTTTTCTCCTTTCGCTTACTTGCTTCATGTATGTTCGTATATATTTTCCACTTTTCAAAATGGTGTTTTTTTTCTTTAGACAGTGGGAAAGCATCCAGAAAGAATATCATCTCTGAACTTAAAACATAATCCCACCCGTGTGTTCTCTGTGCATCACCCCCTAAACTCCCCATTCACTGACTGCGTGTTCTACAGCTTGTACTGAGATAGAGACTTTTTTCTGAGAGCCAAGCTGGACTCATTATATCTGAATATGGTCCATTTTTAAGTTCAGCTCCAGCTTTTCTCTGGGGAACCAATGAGAAAAGCAAGCTTTGGACCAGGGTCACTGAAGTGAGTCACCGTTTTTAAGATTCCACTCAGTGACCACAGGCGAAAATGCAGCAGGAGCCGTGTGGCTCCCATGGGGACCATGCCACTGTGGCTGTTCCCTTGTATTACACGGCCGCCCTCTGAACACCGCTCCGCCTTGAACGAAGAGCCAGCTGCCGTGTCTGCAACGCACCGCCCTGCCAGTATCGCGCAATAACTGGGATGATGGCATCCGTGTGAGAACTAACATGCTGCAACTTATTTAAACACAAATTGTTCAAGTTGGGCTTATAAATCACTTACAAAGAAACTGAGCAGAACAAAATTGCAGCAGAACATAATTGCAGCCAACTGCCACATTCCTCCGCCGTGACCACAGTGTGCGGGGCTGGAGGCCCTGCCAGACCATCAGGAACAAATACCTTCCACTTGCCAGAAATTAGGTCAACGGCCATTAAACAGAACACGAACCATCTTCCATGGCCACGACCCCAACGCTGCAGCCCAAACAGCTGCACACGTGCCACTGGCAGCGCAGTGCCTGTCATGGCAATGGGTCCACGTGCTGCCGGGGCCCCCCGGCCTCTCAGCTGGAGCACAGCTGCTGCCCAAGGGGCCCAGGTTCCTGCCTCTCCCTGTCCTCCCTCCCTACCCGTCACTCCCACGTGCTTTGCCACACACATGGCCGGTGGCCTGTGCAGGAAAGGAATGGCCTGGCACAGCCCAGCCCTGAGTCTGGGGCTTCCCTGGCCTGTCCACACGGTGGAGCCGGCTGGGGGGCCAGCATACCTGCCGCCTGCAAACCAAAGCAGAATGGCACGCCCGCTGCCGAAGGCTGGGTTCTGAAAGTGTGCTGAGCCAGAGATCTTTGCTCCTCAGAGAATACATTCACCTTTCTGAGAAATGTTGCAAACCTTTAACTCTTACACACACGACTTCTGAACAAAGGAGCAACGTCCACTTGCACTTTGAAAAGTTGATACTGTGCTCTGACCTCGTGGCCTTACACTCATGACGCTACTTCCTCCAAACCTAACCCTAACGTTCTGGTCTGCGCCTAACATGGCCTGTCATTATTTTGTTCCTTTTTCAGCGCTGGTGGTCCATGTTCTTCACTATGTTCAGTTCCATGGAAACATTTTAATACAGATGAGCCGCTAAAAGTCGCCCAAGGCCGGCTTCCACGCCTGCAGGGCAGCGATGTGTCCCCTGGACAGGCTGGGAGGCCAGGGTGAGCCAGCGAAGAATTCTCCCCCAAGGTGACCGTTACACCGCCGACCGGCCTGGCCTGGCCTGGCCTTGACTCCCCCGGCATCCTCTCCATAGAGTCTCTGCCCAACACTGACGTGAACAGAGAACCGTGCTGTCAGATGGCGAGGCAGGCTCAGCGAGGCGCTTTTGAGTTGCGCTCTGTGTCTCTCTTGCGGTCCTGCTCGGGTTCATCCACGTGGCAAACGTTCCTGTGGACGTTCACATGTTTTCTCCCGATCAAGTGCCTTTTGGAAAATTTCCACACGTTTCAAAACCAGCAGAGAAAGCAGCATTTCCTCCCAAAGGCTGGGACCTGAAAGCTGATTCTTAAAAGCAAAATGTAATTTTTTTTTTGTAAGCTTTATACCAAGGTGAAACTTTACCCTCAATCTATTAGAAAACTGAACTTTAACATTTTAAAGTTCTATATAATATTCTAAATTAGAAACACCAACGTTAATTGATGCCCTTTTCCCAAGAAAACAGAGCGCTGCTCGCCGTGGTATGCTGTCTAACGTTTCAAGGGGGTCGTACGTCTCATCCACTCTAAACCCCCTGCTGGACACTGGCCATCAGCCACACACCCTCTGCCAATCAGACAGGCCATGGGCAGCGGGAAGTTCCCACAGCGAGCAGACGCCACAGGATGGGGGCGGGGTCCCTGGCAGCTGGCTGGGCGCATGTCCCACACAGTGGGGGTTTCCTCTCAGTGAGGAAGGGACTCTTTTTACTCAGAGACTTCACACCCTCCCTGTGAGCAACACAGCGCACAGTGAGCAGCAATTCCACAAAGACCAGAACCCAGCCAGGAAGGCCAGCAACGCAGCCCCGCTGAGAGCACAGGGCAGCGCTGCAACGCAGGGGCCCCGCACGTGGGGAGGCACGGCCGACTTGCTGCAGAAAAATCATCAAATTGTTGAAGACTCAAAATTTCAAGAACCTAGTTCCTTATGCTTTTAACTTAGTATCCTATATTTAGAAATCTAGTAAATTTCAACAATCACATGCAGAGTGGCCTTTGATTTATATTAAACCCATTCATAATGAATTAAAAATCCCTTAGGCAATGAGTTAAATCTGCTAAGTTATTTTAAAATTGTCAAGATTCATTTCAAAATTTATATATTACACTTTCTTGAACACCTTAAATGATAAAGAGCAAAATGCTCCCAAATTTTTAAGTCTCAAAAATTTAGTAAACTTACAAATATGGTGACTCTCAAGTTTTCTTAAAAATTGAAATGCCACTCACAAACTTGGTAAAAGGTTATTTTCCTCGATACATCCCAAGTCTAGTCAATTCATGTGCCAAATAAGAATGAAATATTATAACACAATATACCAAAATCCTTAAAACACTACACCACCTAAATATCAGATTATTCCTAAATTCATGGAAACATACTGATACAGTTGGATTAACGTACTTCCTTTCTCTATTCAAGAATGACCCCTAGGGAACCTTCGTCAGGTCTAAAGTGAGGGGCACTGCGCTAGGGAAGCTAGAACGGGCTCAGAGACAGGTGGGCGGAGCCCAAAATCTCCACAGCAGCAAGACCACTGTTGTGGACTAGACACTTCACGGTCCAGAAATACTTCAGTGAATCACAGCGCGCACACTGAGATGCAAGCTTGCGTATTCTCAATTAATCCTTCTGCCTGACCAGATCGGGAGGTCGCTCTTCCCGGGACAGGCGCTGGCCCTGGAACAGTGACTTCACAGCGGACAGGCTTGGACGGGCACAGCCCGGCAGGGTGGTCTGAGCCGGAGCAACCCTGCTCCGCGCTCCCCATTACACGAGGCCATCACAGGGCCACTTATTTGCATCATGGGTGTTAAGTAGTGTAATCTTGCTCTGGAATTTAGGAATCTACACTGGGTAAATGCTCATAAGTGTCACAAACTTTTATTCAATTTAAAACCCTGGCAAGATAACACTTTTTAGTGTTATTTTAGACTTAGATTATTTTTCCTTGCCAGAGCTTGGCAGCGCCCAACATAATATGGCCAAATTAAAACAGACAGGTTTGAATTTCATCCTCACATGCTTTAGCAAGGTTTTTTTGTAAAAAGTTTGATGAAGGAGGACTTGGGAAAGAATATTGGCTATTTTAAAGTTCCTGGGACGCAACGATACTGCCTTTGTCCTCCTCTTTGTGCAACGGCCTTCCGCAATCAGAGTTTTAATGATGAGAGTGGCCGGCACGCGGCTCACCGCTTGACTCTGCTGAACGGAGCCACCAAACCGACAGCCTAGCAGAAGATAAGATGGGCTCCTGTCCCTTCCACGCTCATTCAAATGTTATCGAACATACTAAAAAGGGGAGCCAATCCTCAAGAGACAAAGCATTCAACAGGACCAGAATCCGAAATGTCAAATATAATGTGTTAATAATCTAACCTGAAGAAAATAGTAGAAAACACTTTAAAAAGTATTTGTATTTATAAGAACCCCCCAACCCCCCCCACCCCCGTTTTTAGTGGCTTCATTGGAGACATCATCCTGCGCAGCACCGTGAGATCAATCCCCACACTGATCCTGTGTCAGATGAATTGCCGGCAAAGCCCAGCTCACATTGCCGCCAGGGTAATTCCAGCCGTATAAGTGGGACCTTCTGAACGGCTCACAGCTCCAAGCCGGCAGCTGAGCGCACACAGAAATGGAAGCAGCGTCTGCTCACCACCTCCACCAGCATCCTAAGGGCTCAGAGCTCAATTCTTCAAGGGGATCTCCCACAATTATTTTCAAACTAGAACTAGTCATGGCCTGTGTTCCCCTGCCTCTGCAGTCCCACCAGGTCCTGGAATAGGGTCAGCGGTCACCCCCGGACCCCCAGCCCCCTGGGGCGAGCTCTGGCACGCCCTCTGCAGAGGCTGACGCCATGGCCCACGCTGCTGGGTTTTTGAAAGCACCATCCTAAGTCAGGCCCTTTCCTTACTTTGTACTTGTCTCCTTGCTTTCGTCCCTCAGTGTCAACTAGCGTTGGTGTTAGTGCTACCTATTCGTCCACAGGTAGTTCCAGTTTCCTGTAGGTTAGCTGAGCAAGTGTTACACCAACACTGGGTGACAAACACGTTCTCTGTAAGAGAAGACACTCAAGGCCTAGCCTAGGTTTGTGTCCCCGCACGCGATGAAGACCTGCACGAACCCTCCCTTTCATACGGCTTCACCCAAAGCCCGACAGACACGACGTCTGACTTGCGGGAACAGAGGGGCCCCTGCCGCCGCTAGAAGGCTGTACCTGAGGGGCGGAGGGACTGAAGGCCACCGCGGTGACAGTGTCCGTGTGTCCTGACAGCCTATGGGAGAAGGTGCTGGAGCCCATCTCGTAGACGTACGCCTGGAAAACACGAGCGGGCGGCGGTCCGCACTTGGGGAGGCAGCAGCCCACCCGCCCAACGCTCGCTCAGTGCCCGTCAAGGGTCCTCGCAGGACAAACAGAACACGTAAGGCACAGAGACAAACTTAAGAATAATACATTTCTCCTCCTTTCCCTCTTAGAATTTTCACATTAAGGAATTTCTACTGCACTCATCGCCCTAAGACTCCCCTACACCGTGAACAAGTATAAACATTCGCTCATGTCTGACCACTGGTTTCAGAAAAAGAACACAGATCTTGTATTCCAGCCTCTCCATTGCTGGTCGCTGGCGCCGACTCACCGCCAGCAGGAGCCCGCGGCTTGGAGAGCGGCCAAGGAGCAGCTTTATCCCGGGCGCAGCAGCCGCTGCGGTGACGACTGCGCCGCCCTCGACCAGCACAACAGCTCCACTCAACAAAGACACCGCCAGCTCCAAAGCGGGATGGAAAAAACCGCGCCGAAGCACGGCTTTTATACATAGGAGCCCCGCCCCTGGTCCCTGATTGGCCCACCCTCATGCAAATGAGGGTTCCAAATCCTCGCAGTTTGATTGGTCCAAATGGCAACCCTGATTGGTCAAAAGAGAGCCACTGGGCTTGGTCAGAACTGCACAGCTCGGATTAGATGGGGAAAGCCTCAGTCCTACCGGCTGAAGCAGGACCCAGGGCTCCTCTCTACGGGCTGCAGGCGCGCAGCTCGGCGCCGCCTGTGCCGAGTGCGGGTCCAGCGCAGCAACAGCTGCCAGGCTTTGCGTTTCGTTCTTTAACTTTTTATCTCAATCCGCCACCAGGAGCCCTTATTAATACGGATTTTCTTTCTTGGGGGTGACAGACCTTACCTGGAAGCCCCAGAGTGAGTGAAGACGTGATAGTGTATGGTCCTTTCCACGAACTGAGAGGACTCCCCATGACCAGCCTTCAATGTGAGCGACCCAGATGTTTTAAGTTTTTAATGTAACTGCAAATAAAACTTCACAGACGCTGGTCCCTAACGGAAGTATTCTATGAAGAGACACACACGCACGCACGCAGCTCCCGCCAGGGCGGCGCGGGCCTGGAGCAGCTGCAAACCCCTCCCCGGCCTGGCCCGCCGCGGGGCCTGCCGGGGGCTCCAGGCCGCTTCCCAGAGCCCGAGCCAGCGCTCGGTTGGGCGTGGCTTGGGGGGGGTCTTCCTCCCGCGCCCACCGACGGCGCTGGGGTGCGGGCCTCGGCTCTGCCCGCGGCTCCCTCTCTGGTCTCACGGAATGTAAACCGAGAGCCGCTTTCGTTGTATGGTCTATTTCATTTCCTCTTCCTTATGTATTTCTTCGGCACTTAAAATGGATTGCATTCTTGTTTCCGCAATTACCTTTTATTAAAATACTTACGTGAAACTCTTCGCGTCAGACCCTGTATGTCTGCTCCCTACTGCACCCAATGCTGAAATTTCCTCATCTATTTCCTTTCCAATTTCCTATCCGGTTTGTCCTAGCATTTATATTCTTACAGAAATCTGGGTTCACAGTTTGTCGTCAGCTCCAAGCAACAGTTTCCATTATTCTCTAAGAGAAAATCAAGGGGTTCGCACTACTTTCTAGGACACGCCCACGGCTCCCGTTTTTGTACCGTTTTGAGACATGACATTTACAGCCTTTCGCTGCCATCGCGGTGCCTTTCCGTTTCGCCTCGGTAGTCGAACTCATCCGCGTGCCCTGGAAGCTTTGGTAAAACTTCTTCAACCGTGCCTTGCTTTTCTAGAGCTTTCTTCATCCAGAATTGAATCAGAGCAATGCTATTCATTCAGTTTGGGCATGTTCAACACAGTGTGTCTGGTTTTATACTTAAAGGGCAACATCTGGATGTAAAAAATTCTTGACAAAGATGCTCTCTTTAGAGTACGTTAGATACGCTCCTCCCAACATTTTCTAACATGAAATAATGGTTTAGAGAAATCGAATGCTTAACTGGTAGCCTTTCCTTTATAAGTGCTTGAAGATTTGAACAAAAAGGTGTTGTGTTTGTGTCGGTGTTATTTTTAATGATTATAGTCAAATAGATTTACTATGTTTTGGTGCTGACCAGTGTGTGTCAATTTTCCCAGGTGACTTTTCAACATTAAGACTGAAGTAACTTCTGAAAAACTATTTTTGAATTACAATTTTAAATGTCACTTCTGCTCTTGCCTCCGGGACTCCACACACGCAGCGCGGACTCCTCCGCCCGCTGCCCTCGTCTCCTTTCTGGCGGGATGGGCTTATCTTCCCTCCACTGCCCTTCCCCCATGTGGGCTCTGTGGGCTCTGCTTTCGACTGTCCTTATTCAAATTTGGCCCTTAGTTTTGAAAACTCTTCTAACGCCTTCCTAATTCATCCGTTTTCATCTCACATATGCCCGTTGTCTAGCAATTTCACTTCTGAGCTCCTGCTTTTCTGCTTCCGCCACTCTGTTAAAGTCTGCGTTTTCTTCAATTAGTTCAGCTCGTTTGCAGCTGTATTGCGAGTCTTCACCCGCCTAGAAAACACATCTTTCTGGCCTGGGCTCATCGCCTGTGAGGCCGTTTTTGGTTCATCCTCACTTTCCTGTGTGATACAAAGGACTGTCACACACAGAGTTCATGTGACTCCGTGGACGAGAAATAGGACATAGATGAGAAAAGGGATGGAGACAGGCAGGCAGGTTGGGGACACACTGGGGAGGGTCTCACACACCACACAGAACTGGCCTGGCTCCTGTCCCACCTCCTGCTGCCGAACCAGCAGGGCGTCTTAAGCAGCAGCAGCGCGATCGCTTCCCAGCCAGCGGTAAAATCTCCCCTGGGGCTGAGGGTGTTTTCCTCGTCTTAGACTTACATCACGATACTTGTGCTCTACGTACGTTGAAACTGTTATTCGGGCGGCGGATCTGGGAGCGGGATGATCTCTGCACGGACGCCGCTGTGGTGGCCGAACGCCCCGGCTGTCGCTGGAGACGCTCCGGGCCCTCAGGTCCGCTGCGCACCCGGGCCTTCCTGCATCAGCTTCACCCCACCTTCCTGCTTCCAATGTCGGGGTGTCTTTATCCTCTTACTTTCAGTTATTACATTTTCCAGACACACTCGGATGTGTTGAGTTAAAAAACAGGGATCAAAAATTTCAAGGAAATGCACAGCTCACCGCTGGCTTACATTTGGCGTCCGAGAGACCAGGCACACACAGGCATCACGCGGTGTCTCGGGCAACACACAGGTGAGTTCAGGCCTTGGAAGCAAATGAAGGTTTTAGATTCTGCCCGGAAACCAGGAAGTTACAATACATAAGAAGATGCTACAAAAGACAGTTTAATTGAATACGTGGGTGATTTAACTTGGCAAGACAGCTTGGGGTACACGGCTGGATACAGAGAAACAATTTAGAGGAAAAACCAAAAATTCCACAACTTTGCTCTTGTTCCTGGTGGTGCTGCTGGCACAGTTTTTGTTCGAAATTCAAAAAGCATAGCAATAATAATAATTTTTAAAAGTGTATCTAAAATGGTGGCAAATAGCTCGTATTGTCAGATAAATGTTATTGTAATGTTTTAGGGCGCTTTAATAAATATGCAAAGTGTGAATGAGCTGCATGGCAACCAAGTTTAGAGGGCACTGTTTTCTTTGAAAACTCCTGCGCTGCCCCCTTCAAGGTGAGCTCAGCTGTCGTCCTAGCAGACGACAGAGATGCCAAAGGGGCACAGCTGGTTATGAACTAGTAAAATTCCAAATAACTTTTCCTACTTAAGAATTCCATGAAATAGTTTTCAATATTCTTAAATTTGATTCTCGCCAGTTAAACCGAGTAAGAAAGATGTTTTTGAAAGTAAATCTAACTCTCAATTAAATTGTAAAGTGGTTATTTCCAAATAAACTTTATGATTTCCTTGAGTTCTTGGAAATCTCTCAATGTCTCTGTTGTTTCTAGAACCCTTGTAGACTCACAGCAAGTTGCATGGGGTCCCCCAAAATGCCCTGTCCAAGTCCCAGGCCCAGTGCCTGCCAGCAGAGCCCAGTTGGAAACGGGGTCTCCCGCAGGCGTTGTGAAGTTGAGGACCCAGGGTGTCCAGGGACCAGGGTCCTTGTAGCAGAAAGGGGAGTGAGACTGGGGACCCACCGGGAGGGCGGCCGTGGGGGGACAGGGCGGAGGCTGCAGGGAGAGCCCCGAGGACGCCAGGACGGACTGCCGGCAGCAGGAGTGGAAGCCAAGGCTGGTCCCCTCAGAGCCCGGGGGGCCCACCCCCGCCCCCCACACCCCAGCCTCGGACCCCGCGCAGGCGGTAGGAGAACGCATCCCTGTCGTAGAAGCTGCCGAGCTCGTGGCCACATGTTACAGCGGCCCTGGGAACAAGCCCCAGGCCTGTTCACGTATGCGAAGGACCAATGGGTACGTAATCAGCGCCTGTTCCAAATCGACCATGATATACGTGTTCTTTCATCTATTCGTGTTACAATCGGTCGTTCAAAGAAAACGCCGCGCGCGTCTGACACTCGGTAGGCAGTCTGTGCAGCGGGAAGCGATGGGCGAGGGCGGAGGGGCAGGTGGCGGTGTTGGAAGTTCCGTGCTTCGCTACTCACGCCCCCAGGGCCTCCCATCCCTCCACGTCATGGCTGCGAAAGCACCACTTGCATGTGAGCGGCTCACCCCGGAGTCTTATCTAACGTGCGCCCACCCCGGCTGTCCCCCCAAGAGTGGTCGGGGGCCCCTGGACCCAGGGACGAGCACCTACGTGTCTGTCCTCAGCACCGCTGGCCACAAACCGCCCGCATGGGCTGAAGGCCACGCCGCACGGGTAGCTGCGGCTCGGGTGGCCTTCAAACCGGCGTTCGCACCTAAGGGGACGGAAAAAAAACACCAGAAGAAACGATGTTTTCATTTTTAACACAAATTGGGATAAAGATACTGACCTGTTGCTTTTCTTCACAAAAACGAACAAACCACTAGGAACAGCTTTAGGTGAGGATATGGAACCCTCGGCAGGAACCCTCAAAAGTGATTAGAGGACTTTCCAGAGTCATTTCCCAGAGGTGACCGCGCTAACGTCCATGGAACATTTTATACACGAAAACCGTGAAGTCATAAACGTATTCTGGAGAGCATTAGAAACATGAAAACTAACCTGTTAAAATCATAAATTATTTAAGTCGATGATTCAAAACCTTTGAGAGGTGCAACTGTCTCAAGACAGGTCAGGCCTGACAGCCAGCTGCTTGCAGAGCGCTAGGTAAGATTCGTTCACTGCGAAAACAGGGAGGCTGCAGGGAACCGCTGCCGACTTTATTGGGAACAATCACCGTCCCCTTTGGGGGCAGCCGGAGCTGTCAGAGGGGCACCTCTGCCAGCACCGGCCAGGATCCTGGGCCCACGGTTGCCGCGGTGCCCTCGGCGGCTCCTCCCGCCACGCGGCCCGGCCCGCAGGCCGGCCACGGAGCGGAGCCTGTTTAGGACCAAACAGCGGACACTCCGCTGGCTGTGCCCTTGTGGGTGCGCGTGCCCCCCCCACACACACACAGAGCAGGGGTGGGGGGACAGCAGGTTTGCAGTTGTCCGTAGGGAACAAGACAAATAATACAATAACTCATAAATAATAATACAAGAATAAGCTGTAAGCCCACTTTTGTCCCCTCGTATGTGCATAGGTAAAAACCCCCGTTCTTGTCATACACAGGGTAGGCTGGGCTGTCGGGCGGGATGGAGTTGCCAGAACAGGGCAGCACCTGACCAGGTGTCCCTGCGGCCTGACAGCGTCCCCGGCCCCGGGCCCCGGCCCCGGCCCCCACGCCGCCCGCCGCCCGCCGCCCGCCCAGCAGGATGGGCCTCACCGCAGGGTCCTCAGGTCCCACAGTCGGATCCCATCACCAATGGCTGTTGTCACAAAAAGATTATGAGCCTGAGGTTGTTGGGTCGCAAATGACGATCCCTATAATATAAGGGACAAAGTCCAGGTGAGTGTTCTAAAGGCCGAATTAGTGGTCCTTACACTACTGCTGTCTAACAACATTGAGTCTAAAATAAGAAATCAGCAGAAACTTTCATTTATAACAATTTCACAATTGGACTCCAAAGACTTCTTTCGCATGGATAATTACTATGGGTACACTCCGACCTTCAGATTCACCGAGGTATTCTTCTCTCTGTGCGAAGCCACAGAACGTTATAAAAATACACATGATGAAAGACCACAAGACTACGATGCTAGTACTCCATCCATAGAGTATTTTCAAAGCACAGGTCACACCAGCGTCACCCAGCTGCTGGCGACCAGGCCTGAGACACCTGTGGCGACGCAGGTGAAAGGCGGCCTGCGTCCCCCGAGCGCCGACCCCGAGAGCTCGCGCCTCTGGCCGGGCCCCCCGCTGGGCCGGCTCCTGGGCTCCAGGCTGCTGTCCCAGGCTGGGCATGGGACTTAACATCCTCACGGGGGAGGACTGAACTGCAATCCCTACAGAGCCATTTGGCTGAGAACTTAACTCTTTCACGGTTGATGACGATTCCTCCTTCCTTCTATGTGGAGACCACCCAAACGGAGGGCGAACGCAATGAAGCCCCTTCACGGGCATTTATGCTTAAAACGCATCCAGGCCCAGAAGCGACTCTCCTTCACAAACCGGAAATAAACGCTTACATGAATTCGACAACACAAACACACTAATGCATATGTCGAGTCCCAGCTCTCGCCAGACAACACCCTACGCACTTTCCTCCTCATCCTCCATCAGGCCTGGGAAGCACCATCTACTTCACGCCCCTTTCCCGGTGAGACGCCGCACACACTCCTGGGATCAGCAGGCCCACCTGTGCCACAGCTGGGACCAGCTGGGATAGCCGGGGACCCCGGAGGTCACACACAAGCAAGCCCACAGAGTCAGCACACGTCCGGAGACCACCTACGAAACGCTGGGCATTGGCAAGCCTCTAAGGGTCAAAGGATGAAACACGGATCTCGTCCAGCTGAGGACAGGCAGGTCGGCGGCGGCCACGCCTCGCACAGGGCGCGTCGCGGAAGGCGGGCAGCGGACGGCTGACGCGGACACACGGGGTCGCAGCCTCCTCGGGGCCCGGTCAGTTCCGATCTCGGCCAGGTTTTTAGGGCTTTGGGATAAACCCCACAAGGATGTAAAGAACAAAACAAGCCAAAGAAAAGCACAATAGGTTTTATATGGAGATGCCGACAGACCCGTTTCCATGAAGAAACATGGTGATGAAAAAAGGTGACGGGATTAACCAAAAACAAACAAATGTACACAAAACACACAGACACAGACCCGCGTGGGGACTGCCGGGCTGTTGGAGGGGGTGGGGGCGGGGCCGGGGGCAGAGGGGAGGATGGGGAGGGACAGAGGCGCGGCCTGGGGGCAGGTGACGTGCGAGCTGGGCACCTGGGACCCGTGCGGTTTGGTGAAGCCACGTCCCCCGTAAGTTCAACTGAAAACACCAGCCCGGGGGTGGTGAGGGAGATCAGGGCCCTGAGGAAGAGCCTCAGCCCGAAACCAAGGGAACAAAGGAGCGCCTTCCGAACCGCTCACAGCACGTTAGAGCCGGCAGCGCGCGCACCAGCGGCCGGCGAGACGCGCGTCCTCGTGCCGCGGCCCCCGTGCGCCCTCTGGCGGGACTGCTCTCACGTGAGAGCGAGGACGCGGAGCGTTTTCAACTAACCCTCATGAGCTGTGTCGCCAAAGACTCCAGGGGACCCTAGGAAAGCTGACGGAACCCTCGGCCACCCCGCATTTCACAGCCGGTGACCGGCAGGCAGCTCGGGCTTTGGGGGAATGACGGGGCCGTTGGAGAACGCACCACACGCTTCCAAACGCCGCTGGTCAGACTCTAACCCTGGAGCCGCCGTGCTGACGAGTCTGCCCAGGACGGGAGCTTCCACCCGACTTCCTGCCCAACACCCGTCTTCCTGTGGCGACAGGCGGCTGTGACGCGCACCCACAAACACCAGCTGAGCGGGTTCCCAGTGCGGACGGCGGCTCTGGGGCCGCAAAGGCGCCGGGCACCCGATGCAGCCGGGTCTGCCAAGCCGACAGGCCCTGCAAGGTCCCCCGTCGAAACATGGCCTGCAGCGGAGAGGGGGGCCAGCCAGGCACAGGGAGACGGGGGGACTGGGCTTCAGGTAGAGAGCGCACAACGCAACAGAGTTGTACCCCTGAAACCTACCCAGTGTCATCAACCAACGTCACCCCAATACATTTACTGAAAAAAGATTGTCCATCGACATCTGATTGAGTTACACTTGAATTTAAAAGAAATCAGAATACCTAACAATAATTTTAAGTCTTTGACTCAATTTTCAAATTCACTTAAAAACACAGAAATATGCAAGGTCTAATAACCAATCTGAACCCCAATCCTGACAGATCTTGCTGAACCGCGGCTCTCAGACTTGGAGCTGAGGACCGGCTCCGGCCACAAGCTGCTGGCGGAGTCCGCACCGTACCACCCGGGACACGGCGTGAAGACGCGGGGTGTCTCCCCCACGGGGCTGAGCTGCCCACCCTGCGCCGCGCCCCTGGAGTCTGCTGTGTCCGCAGCCTCGTAAAGAAGTCACAACATGCTTCAAAGAGATTCCCTCGTTCATGTGAGGACCTACTGCACAGTGTTTAAAATAGTTGTGTTCTGTTTTTATGCAAGATGGTTCTGCACAAATAAAGAAAACAACATAATCTTCTCCTCAGCAACTCTCTCCAAGCTGACATTTTCCATATATAAACCAGAGAACCCTTCCTGTACCATAATGTGGACTGTCCTAATTAATCAGCCTCGGAGGGTCTAACAATGGGGAAAAAGGAGTCAAGGCAGATGCCATCGAAGGCCACCATCTGCGAGGAGGTGACCCCGCCCTGCAGGTGCCGGGTCACCGCAGCCGCCATCCCAGAGCCCCCCCAGCCGGGGCGGTGCCCACGCCCACCCCCGCCCCCACCTGCCTGCTCAGCTGCCTGGGCTGACAGCTCACCGGGGCCTGGACCTGGACCGCCAGGCCTGTGCCAGCTGGGGATCCCACCCTGCCCGCCGTACCGGAGGAGGCCCCCGCGGGCCCAGCCCCCAGCGCCCGCTCATGGCGGGGAGTGGGCAGTGCGGACGCAGCACCCAGAACCGGCTCTGTCTTTCCCTCTCTCCCTGATCTCCAGCAGGAGCATAGAGCAGGCCGGCAATGGTGCCCTCAAGCCTGGCTAACTGTCTCTTCACCAATAAGCAAGACTTCACTTTAAAACCAACGCCCTGGAATGGTAACATGCTCTCAGAAGGCATCACAAAGCAAATCCTTAACCTGGAACGCCATTCCAAATACATCAAAACTCAACAGCAGCTGTAGTCCAAAGACAAATTTGTTCCCAAGTTTCTGGAACACTCTTTTAAGTAACAAAACACCTTTGAACTAAACTGTGAGACAGTGAGTTCACCTAAACATGCATCTCTATCAATCCTGAGCCGTGACCCTCTGCCGTGGGTGTTTTTAAACCATCTCTCTGCCAACACGGAGGAGCTGCGCCCCACACGTGGACGCTGGTGCAGGGCGGAGGCCGCTCCGCGGCCCGAGACCCCACGTGGCCGTAACCCAGGCCATGGCGCTGGGACAGCCAGGCTCTCGGTGAGATTTCAGTGAGAACCTGCTGCCGGAGAAGCCGAAGAGCGGCCCTTAATGTAACCCAAGGCCAATTACGTTAAAGACCCAAATTAACGTCCAACGGGAAAATTCTGATGTCAAACAGCAAGACTAGGAATAACGTAATTATCAATAAAAATTCGCATTCAGTTCAGTGGCAAACTTACAAAATTGCATCACACACCTGTATCGGTTAAACACTATATACGTAACATTGCACAAAAGTCGCACGGCATGAAAAACTCACCTTATTTTGACAGATCTGGTGGGCGGGCCGCGCATGGGCCCCCGTGACCACGGCCGCGCTGCGGCCCGCGCTGAGGTCGAACACTTCCAGTGTCCTGTCCCGGCCGGCAGCCAGCACGAGGTCTGTGGGGCGCGTCAGGGAAAGCTCTCCGGCCGCTCGCTCGGTGAGAAAGCCCCACCCTGGGGACCGTGGGTGGCAATTATGGCCTTTGAGGTTCCACAGACGCTGCTCCCCCCACCCCCTCACCGCCGGCCCCGTGTTCCCAGGCACGGATGGAGGTTGGGGGCTGCTGAGGACAATGGGAGACCCCGGGGTGAGCATCTCGCAGTGAAGTCCAAGAAGCTGAGCGAGGCTCAAGGTGAGCAGGGGACAGCACAGCAGGCGGACGCGCGGCGCAGGAGACGGGTCTGAGGCGAACCCAGGCAGCAGAGTCTGTGGGCGCCGGGGTCGCAGGGCCCAGGCTGCGTGAGCGAAGAGGGGACACGTCCCCAAAGGGTGCAGCAAACTGCAGGGATCTGGGGTACGAGGGCAGCTTACGGACTCCGGGTCAGGTCACCCCAGAACTACCCAACTGCTCGTGTTCAGCCCCGAAGGCTGAAAAGTACACATGATAAAAAAATATACATATATGAAAACACTAAGCAGCACGCATTGCAGAGCAAGCCCTGGGCCTGAGAAGAAGCCACCGCTGCACCGAACAGGCCGCCCTGCACGGCCTCGAGGACTGGGGGGCACACTCCGGCCGGGCGGCCGTTCCGTTTTGTGTTTAGCAAAGGTTCTGGAATAAAATCAACACACACCTGACAGAATATACTAGAACCTTCTAACGCCTTACGCCAGTCCTTATGAAATTTCAATTACAGAACTCTTCAGAAGAACGTAGATCGGGCCTTTGAATAAATTGAAACGTTATAAAATAAAGTCCTGAAGGTTATGACTTTTGCCTCAGTAAATTTAAATCAAGGCTTTTTAATTAAAAGGGATGCTGTTAGCCGTAAAAACTGAACACATTACAGTTTTGGGCTCTGTTTGATTTTCTGTTGAACGGCCACCGCTCTGCGCCCCGCCAGCCTCCACAGGGGGCGGCGGAGGTGCCGGCCTGGCCCAAAGGCGGGGTCCCGAGAGCAGCAGGCCCCGTAGCACGCGCTGGGTTACCACGGGCGCTTCCCGATGCCGCAGGGCGGAGAGAGCAGGGTGGGTGCTCTGCTGCCTCGGTTTCTTTTCTCTGGGGCACTCCCCATTGCTGAGACAAAGGTGGGGCGCTCTTCGGCACTGATGAATGGAGCCCGCGCAGCCCCAGAGCGGAGCCCGGGGCTCAGGGAGAAAGGATACGGGAGTAAAACTCGTTGACGGCGCACAGGCTAGTGATCTCCGAAGCGCCGGCCGTGGAGAGCCTGCAGGCGGTGCTGCACCAGCTGCTCTGCTTGTACCTGGGAAGAAGGCGAGGGCAGTCAGCGTCTGTCCGCTGCACCTGCAGAACATTCGCGTCAGAAACGGTTTCCCCCAGGCCGCCTACTAATCACGTTTTGTAATCCTGAGCCAAGGCCTTGCTTCCACCTTGCTTTACAAAGCGTCACGAAAAAACTCCCCTATATGCAGCCAAAAACAACTCGCTGCTGTCTCTGAGAAAGCACGCTTTTCTCCTAATTCCAAAGTCATCATGTATACGTAAGGAGACATGCAATCGGTAACAAAGGGGTTTTTTAATAGGAAAACCTTGTTTGGCCTGAAGGGTTTGCAGGTAGGAGCTCCGCTGCGGTGCAGGGGGCGAAGGTGCGGAGGGGGCGGGGAGGGGACGGGACACCAGTTTCCGTCGCTTTTCCGTCGGTCGCAGCTACATCCATGTCAACCCCAGCACAAGCGTGGACCAGGGCGGGGTGGCCGGCAGCGCTGGTCCTGGCGGGGGGGGGCCGTGGGCCCCGCATGGAGGGTCGGCCACAGCCAGCGGAAGAGCTGGCGGCAGGGCCCCTGCGGCAAAACGCCACAGAAAGGGCAGGCGCAGACCGAGGCCGCCCGCCCGCCGCCGCCTGGGGGGCGCCTGCATGGGCGTCCATCCTGCACCCGGAGCCTGAGGGTTTCAGACGTTTGTGGCCGTGTCCAGCCGAGGCCGGAACCATAGGGTGAAGGTCCAAGTGACCCCCAGGCCTGGGGACGCCGCGCCCAGCACTGCCCAGGGAGCGCGTCCGGGACGCGGGCACGGCTAAGGGCAGGCGTGGGCGGGCACGACCCCTGCCGGCCCAGCTCTCTCCACCCCTCGGCCTCATGGGGCTTTGCTACGCTGCCACGTGCAACTCACGGAGGAAGCACAGGTCCCTCAACCACAGACGACAAGGCTCGGGAGGACAGGCCACGGACCTTTTGATCTCGTCCTTGCGCGTGTCCACGTGGTACTTGAGCAGCAGCAGCTCGGGGCCCGACGAGAGCAGCAGGAAGGAGTCGAGGTAGTAGAACTGGGCGGCGCGCACGGGCCCGGCGACCACGTCCTTGCCCTGCAGGGCACACGGCACCGTCCCCGTCACGCGGCCCCCGCCGGCGCCGCGGACACACGCCCGCTCCAGACGGGGAGCACCACCCGAGCAGCGAGCCCCCGTTCCCCCCAGGGGTGCTGGTGGCCGCTGCTCCCCCGAGTCTTCCACATGAGGTCACGGGGCCACCCTTCTGTCACGAGCGTGCGGAGGTCTGGCCATGGCAAACTTTAAAAGGGAAGACACTTACAACTTGGCAGCGGAGATACTCACTCTGCAGGATTTTGTTAAAGCCAAAATCCTGAATGGGCTTTAAGCAGCGGGCGCAATGCGTTGGTGCTCACCCCGCCCAGCCCGCGCGGGGCTTGAATGCCCTGCACCAGCGTCCCCTCCAAAGTGGCTGCCCCCGGCCCCAGCCCCCACCCGGCCCCTCCTGTGTTAGCTCCCCTGGCCTCCGACCCTTTGTACGGCCAGGCGCGCGCGCGCGCGCTCTCTCTCTCTCTCTCTCTCTCACACACACGCGCGCGCGCGCACACACACACACACACACACACACACACACACGAGGCCTCTGAGAGCTGGGGGCTCGCGGGCTCGCGAGGTGACAGGTCAGGGCTCAGGCCCGTTACCCGCTCCGCCCCCAACCTCCCCCCTCTCCCGCCCCATCTGCTCCCCAACAGCCTCCTCTAACGCCCTGGAACAAGTAGTTTTCTTCCCAAGGGGCGTGTGCTCTGCGTGCTATGCCCTGGGCCGCCATCACCAGCGCTAATATGTAGCTTTGTCCCAGCATTTTCATGTTAGGTTTTGCCATTTTGAGACCATAGCAAACGTGAGGCACATCGAACTGTGTACGTGTGTGTGTGTTACGCATGTGGGCCCATCACACGTGTGTGCACATCCACATGTGCACTGGGGAACGCTCCCGTCGCTGGGCTCCAGTGCGTCGAAGCGCAGGCCGGCCTGTCCCTGCCCCTGGCCTCCCGCCAAGGAGCGCGCTCAGCCCGCGCGGCGGGGACCACCCGACAGCTGCCCGGGCACCGGCGGGTCGGCGGGTCGGTGGGAATTACCAGACACAAGGCGGGCTCCCTCCTGCGCACGGACCACAGCCTCAGCGTCCCGTCCTGGGAGGCAGACAGCAGCCGCCGGCCATCGAGGCTCCAGCCCAGGGCGCTCACGGCCCCGTCGTGACCTGGCGGAGGACAGGAGGGAGGGAGGGCCCTGGGTCGCGGCCATCGCGGTGCCCGCGGAGCCAAACCCACGTTGGCGATAACTTCACTGTAAGTCTTCATGTGGTTTCTGAAGAATATGTTTCCAAAATTCATGTTTTTAAAAATACGAAATTCAAAATTGTGTGTGTATCTGAAAGCATGTCTTAAGAGAATCGTGCAAAAAGCAGAAGCCTGTAAAACGCGTAGGAGGCCGGGGCTCCCGAGCGCACGCTTTCAAGGGCTGTTCTGGCGGTGACGGGCCTGCCAAGGGGCTTCGCTGAGCGTGTGCGCGCGTGGCCGGGCTGCCGCGAAGGGGCCGACGGGCTCCCCCCGTGCCGGCCAGCCTCGCGGCGCCCGGACCCGCAAGCTCACGGCATTGCCCCGTGGGACTCGCTTGCCCGCCCGGCTTGTCTCACAGGCCCTGGGCCGCCCCACACACACAGGGACGCGGGGGGCGGGGCCCCGAGGGGCGGAGGGGAGCCAGGCTTCACCGCCACTGCCGGCCTCTTCCCGCCCATCGGCCGGGAGGGCTCCAGGGCCAGCAGCCTGTCCCTCGGACACAGGGCCCTGACTTCACGGCCACCGCGGCAGCCCGTGCTGTCTGAGGACACCAGGCGACCGGAAGGTCGTGACAAGCAAACACGCGGACACGGGCCTGGCTGCCGTGCCTGCAGCCTCCCCGCCTGTCACACGGGAACATGCTGCGGCCTGACGCGGGGAAACGCGCCGCCTCCCGACCACGCGTGTCAGGGAGCCAGGCCCTCGGTGGGATCTCAGTGAGAACCTGCTGCCGCGGAAGCCGAAGAGCGGCCCTTGAAGCACCCCAAGGCCGGTTACTCCGGGAGGAGGGCGGCAGCCCCGGAGCTGCCCTGCGAGGCCCGGCTGCCATCCGACAGGCTTTGCTGCCCTCTGGTGGGCACCTCTGGGAGTGTCGCCACCGCCGCTGCTTAGCTGGCAAGGGGGGCGTGGCCTTGCACCGGACAGTGCGTCTGAGGCTCTGCGACCACTGCGGGGGCCTGGGGGCCCCGGGGGCCCCGGCGCTGCTGCCCGCGGGGCCCAGGGAAGCGATGCCCCCGCCGGGACCCACACGCACTGACATGCCAGCGGAGCGCGCGGTGGTTTCCTGGCTCGCTGGTCGGGCCTCTCTGACCCGCTCCCCGCCGGGCAAAGAGCTGGCGAGGCCGCGGGCCCTGGGGACGCAGACGGGAGGCCGCCCCGCGGACGGCTCCATTCCTCCAGGTCCGCTGTGGCCCAGGCGGCCCTCCCTCGTCTTCCCCGACCTCTGCCTGCTGACAAGCGATCAGCCCCAGAAACTGGGTGCAGGGGACCCCATGCCCGGCCCTGAGTGCCCTCTGCCCCGGGCCAGCGTCCGGGGCGATGGCCCAGGGACAAGTGCGGGAGGGGACGGGCTGAGCCTCACGGTCAGGAAGTGACACGCCCCGAGCCGAATGTCCTCTTCTCATGAGAATTCGTTTTCCTGTAATTCCATGATCTTTCATGAAATTTTAATAGACGTGCCCCGGCCTTTGTCCCCATGGGGGCCCGGCCCTGCTGCAGACAGGTGGGGGCTGTTGCCAGCCGCCCAGCCTCGGGGGGCTGGGCACTCCGGGGGGGGACTCGATTCTGCGTCTAGTTTTCACCACAGTCGAAACGCCCAGAAGGCGCTTCTCGCCGACTGTGACAGGCAGCAGCGGCGGCCTCCGGCGTCTGGGGACCGAGACGCCAGCCCAGCCTGTCTCCAAGGCTGAGGCTCCTGCGTGCCACTCGCCGCAGCAGAGGGGCGCGAGGGCGCTCCCCGAAACAGAGGCCGAGCCCTTGCTCTAATGAGGGGTGTAGACATCTCCGCGCTCCCCGGATCCAGCAGAAGCCCTTTCCCGACTACGAGACACCCCAGGAAACGCCCCGAGAATGCAGTTGCCGCCCATACCAGCTGCCAGGCGAGGGAAGGACGCGCACGCGGGGTCCCCCGGGTGCCCACAGCACCGGCTCTGAGCGGGGGTACTGGGCGCTGTCTGCGGACACCTGGCAAGGGCGGCACCGGGCCGCCCTTCCGGGGACGTCCCCCTGGATGGGGTGCCGCAGGCCGGGGACACCTGTCCCACACGGGCGCCTGGGGACACGCCAGGGGCGCCTGTCCCCGCAGGGGCAGCCCCGCGCCGACCTGGCCCACGGCCCTCCGCCCCTCGCCCGCCGCCACCTCTCCAGGCCACGCACGTGGACGAGCCCGAGGCCCTGGGGGTTCCCGTGGGCTGCTGCTGGTGTCACAGCGCCCACCACGCAGGACCAGGGCGGCAGCACCGGGGGCCGAAGGCGGGGGGCCGGCGCGGGCCGGACGGTGCCCCGCGAGCATCAGAGGTCGTCACGGCAGCAGCCTGGACAGGGCTGCCCCATCTCCAACCTACCAACTAAATGGCGAGGTGCCCTGCTGCGCTTACAGAAGTGGCTCGGGCAAGCCCCACCGCCCCCGCAGCCCGGCGGCTGCGTGTCTCCGGTCCAACCGTGGCCCCGGCCCGCAGCTCTGGGCTCCGCGGGCGCCCCGCCCGGGCGGCAGGGCTCCGTGGAGCTCCAGTTGTTAAATCTCCCCGTTTTGTCCCCCAGCTCAAGCCTTGGTTCCGCTCTGTGCTTGTCTCAGAGGAAGCAAACTGGTCTTCAGCCATTAACAACCGGGGCCAGGATGGGACCCACCCGCAAGTTCACAGTCGCTAAAACGGAGGCGCGTGTGCTTTACCTGAGAAAACGGCAGGGGTCCCAGCAAGGTCGGCATCGAAGGCCAGCAACAAGTGGTCGGCCAGGCCGCAGGCCAGGCGCCGTCCGTCCCCTGCCCGAGGGAAGCGAGAGCCGCCCTTGCAGAACCGCCACTCACAGGAGGCAGGCCTGCAGGGCCGCGGAACCCGGGGCGCGGCCTGACGCCCCCCAGGGAGCGACAAGAAGGCCACGAGAAGTGGCCCCAGTGCCCCCGGCCGCCCCGCCCCGCCCCGCCCCGCACCCAGGGCCCCGCACCCAGGGCCCCGCGCCTTCCTCCCGGAGCCTGCAGCCCGGCTCCCGCCAGCAGGCTTTTCAGTGGCGCGTTTGGCTGAGCGGTTCTGTCTAAATGTCATCCTGAGACAAGGCAGAAGCGGACCTTCAAACTTGAGGACCTGCCATGGGTAACCACACGCTGAGTAGCAAGCGTATCAAACATCACAGAGACACTTAGTTTACTGATAAGGCTACTGATCTAATTTCCAAAAATTATTTTAAAACACCTTTGGTTGGAATTATGTGAAAAGCAAAGGGCGTTCAGCACAGCTCTACGTGTCAACCTCCGGGAATCCACCCCGAATCCTTGGGTCCCGGCGGCCACGCCCTCAGGGGCCGTGCCCCAGGCCTTCTGTCCACCCGGCCGGCGAGGGCAGGAGCCTGGGCCACAGCGTTCGCTCCAAACAGAGCTCAGGCTGTAGAGCTGCCCCTGCACTTCCCCCCCCTTCACGGGGACAAGCGTGGGCGGCCCGCAGCGTAGCCTGTGTGCTGTCCTTCCCCCGCCCCGGGACAGGTGCCCGGTGTCCAGGGGAGGGTGGCGTCTGCCCAGCCGGCTCTTGCTCCTGAGTGCCCTCCTGCCAGGCCGCCCGCACGTGTGAGGAGGAGGAGGTGGGGCAGTGGACGCAGGGACAGGGACCTGGGAGGCTGCGCCCTGAGCCCAGGTGGCGTGGCCCGGGCCCACCCCCGCCCCGCCCCCCACCCCCTGTGGCCCGCAAGGGCAGTGGCTCCTGCTCTCCATCCACGCAGGCCCTGCCCCGCAGCCCCCCGGACCGAGGGCTGGTACAGTCTAGCGACCGCGCGCCCCCTCAGCCCCGGACACCGTACCTGAGAACTGGACGCAGAGCACAGCCGCTGGGCCCTGGGCTGCCGCGAGCTGCCGGCGCAGGGCGGTGGGCGCGGGAGTCTCCCAGGGGCGCCCCTCGCTTGGAGGGAGGCAGCAAAAAACAGAGACCAAGAGAGGGTCCCGGTCAGGCTGCCCACGCACGTCGACGCTGCGGGGCTCCCCCGCCCACGTGTGCGGTTTCAGCCGCCAGCCTTGGAAATAGGCTTGGAGTCCTTGGGGCCCAAAATGCAGGCATTTCCCGTGGAAAATATCAAGAACGTATCGCATTTACTGTAAACTGATGAACGCCTGATGGCTCGGGGAGGGGCCCCAGGGAAGCCGCGTTTTACTTCCCGGTCAGGCTCTTTGGGGGCGGCGACTCAACACTAATCACTGACAGGAGGGGCAAGCGGCTTCCTTTCACCATGGAAACGGCCCCATTCCCGGGGGGTGAGGGTGGGGGAGGGCGCGAGGGCAGCACGGCTGGCGACGTCCCCCCCCGAGTCTCCCCGCGCGCTCGGTGGGGACGCAGCCTGTGGCGCAGCCTCACGCCGGTGGCCAGGCCGCACCCCGGGGCCAGCCCGGCTGGGGCCCCCGGCGCCCTCCCCTGCTCAGGGTCCCAGACCCGCACAGAGCCGCAGCCCGACACCCGCCTCACACAGTGTCATCACGGGTCCCAGAAACAAGCGACGGCCAGAGCGTGGCAGGAGGCCCAAAAGGGACGGCAGCCGCGGTCGGGAACTGCCCGTGCTTATCTACACGTGTGCACACACCCACCCACCCACCTGTGTACATGCTTATCACATGGACTCTTACCACGTGTCCATAAACATCGGCACATGTGTGCAAACGTATCTACACGCATATCTGCACTTATCCAACCATGCCTACACACATATCTACACACGTGCCACGTGCCGGCATCCTTAGCCACGCACACATCCACACTTATGCTCGCACGTGTCCACACACGTGTCCACACAGCCACACGCGCGCCTGTGTGCTCATCCAGGAACATAGCCCCACGGGCCTCCCCACGCGGGGCCGCCCCTCCAGCCTCAGGCTCCGGCGTCCGCGGGCGGAAAGGGGGCTCAGGGGCCGACGCGATGCACCCGTGACCTCCATCCACAAGGTGTGGGACGAGCCGCCCCACGCGGCCCTGCTGTGGGTCGACGGCCGGCACGGCAGGGCCGGCCCCCTCAGCACGGGTGTGGAGGGGCTGGTACCCTGCAGACCAGGGCCGGGTCTCCCCAGGGCCGGCGCCCCGTTCAGGGACTCGGACGCGAAGTGACAGAGTTAAGTGCAGCTGAAGGATGTTCACACGTGTGTGTGCGCACGCACATCCCTGTACACAGACACATGCGGGGCCTTAGGCCCGTCTGAAACAAGTCAGTGGCCGATTCACAGGGTTTCTCTGGGTCGTTCCGCGCTCGCTCTGGAAGCGCACGTGCGGCTCCGTACCATGGGCGCCTGTTCCCGCATTTGGAAGGTCTTTTCCAGTCGCTCTTGACCGTGGTCTTCGGTGAAAACATGGTGGTGCTGTGGAAAAACCGCCACGTCGCTCAGACACTGCGAGCCCTGAGCTCCCTCGGGGCACAGTGAACAAGCACATGAAGCACCTAGGCCACCAGCACCCCCAGCTGGTGACAGGCCGGGCCTCCCGGCCATCTGTCTACACCGGCCGCGCCCGGCACTGGGGGGGAGCAGCGTCTGGGTGTTGAAGTCCCGGGAATAATCCCCTGCCGCTTATTCACAGGTGACGCGCCGGCGCTGCGGCCAGCGGTCCAGCCAAAGCGCAGGAGCGAGGCCGGAGGGGCTGGTACCCTGTGCAAGCCCCACCCGTGGCCCCTGGTGGCGCCTGGGGCAGGAGGGGGGGCAGGAGGCCAGGGGACACTCGGGGGGCCCAGGGGGCCCACCCCCTGGCACGGGGCCCCACAGGGCTTCCTGGCCACAGCCGACTGGGGCTGTGGGAAGAGCAGGCGAGGCATCAGGGCTTGGGGCAGCGGGGCAGCGGGGCAGCGTGTTGCTTCTGGGGACCGCGGGGCCGCTGAAGAGCCGGGGACCCGCCAGCGGCCGTGCCCGCAGGTCTCCGGTAGTGCACTGCGCCCGGCCCCCGCCGCAGCCCGTGCTGCGCCCCCCGCGCTGGTCTGGGGTGACGTGCACCTCGCACGGTCCCTGCCGGAGGGCGGACCGCAGGCCAGGACCCAGGACGCTCTCAGCAAACACTGGCAGCCGCCGCCGCTCTGGGACGGGAACCCTCTGGGGCCAGACCCCCCCTCCTACCTGCCGGCCCCGTCTGCCTCCTGCCCCTTCGGGGGCCCGCAGGGCACACTCCGGGCACTTGACCCCTGCCACCAGGCGTCCCTGCTGCCACGGGAGCGCCGAGCCCGAGTACTCACTGTGGGGCGGCCGCGTACCCCGACGACCTGACGGAGCTGTGGAAAACCAGGGGCTGGTCCCTCACGACGCGTCGGGTGGCTGCAGGGACACGGGCGTGGGGGAGGAGCAGGCCTGTCACAGCGACGCCCTCCGCACCCGAGGCAGGACTGAGCCCCTCACACACAGGAAATGGGCCACAGAGGGTTCGGCCCGGCGCCCGGCCAGCCGCCCCCAGCACACAAGGGCCGGCCGGGGCCGTGGAAGCGTGAGGGGACAGCATCGAACGCTCTCCCTTGCCTCTTAAATCACACGGAAGCACGACGTGTTCACTGCGGTCCGCGGTGCCCGCCGTGGGGGCCCGGGCGGCAACGGCGCGGCCACGCACAATGCCGGTTCACGCGACAGCCTGTCCCGGGACCCTCGCAGCGGCCCGCGCAGGGACATGCGCCTGGGGAAGCGACAGGCGACCCTCCACCAGGGGGACAGCAGGTGACTTCGCCGGCCCAAGCCGCCTTTGGCGCTTTCCTCACGTGACAGAGAGACCTGTGAGCTGAGCCGCCAGGACGCCACGCCCACGCCACCAGCGGCGAGACTCCCGGCCCGGCCCCTGGCTCAGCGCGGGCCCGTCCCGCCCCGCCGGCCGACGGTCTCTCGCCAGCCTCAGACGCGCTTTCAGGCAAAGCACGATCTGCCGGAAGTATTTATTCTACGTACTTGCCATTCAATATGGACGTTCTGTGCAACGTCCTAAAACAACTGCAGGAGAGCAGATGATTGCATCCTACAGAGTAACCCTGAAAAAGCTCTGTTTTAAAAACTAAAGCGAAGGAACGTGGTTGTTCCAAATTGCATTCTCAGCAAATGCCACATGGATGTCGACGTGGCCCAGACCCCCGGGCAGGGCACCCCCAACAAGCACCACGGGGTCGGGCGAAGGGCATCCCTTCCCCGAGAAACACCCGGAAAGCCCCGGAACAAGGGCCAGGGACAGCGACGGCTGCGCTGCACCAGCTTGGCCACGGGGCGGGGGGGGCGGGGGCGTCTCCAAACAAAGGTTCGTGGGCACGAGGCTGCACAGATGCTCACAAAGCTCCGCGCACGAAGCCGAGTCCTCCCCACACGGGTTCCCGTGGCGTCTGCGACCCTGTGTGGCGGGGGGCTCAGCACGCCTGCCACTCAGCCGTCTACTCTCGTTTCCCACACAAAGGTTTGCCAAGCACCCCAACCGTTACGAGGTCAGAGCTTCAGAAGGCTGGCATCTGGCCGCAGAGAGGGCGGGGACACGGATACATGCGATGCGTGACACGACAGCATGCGTGCTGTGACATGACAGGTGTGATGTGGGACGTGACAGGGTGCGGCATGGCCTCCGGAGGGACGTGGCGTGACAAGGCGTGGTGTGATGTGAGGTGCTGGCACAGATGGCGTGGCGTGGCGTGACGTGGCGTGACGTGGCGTGGCGTGATGTGGCGTGACGTGAGAGGGGGCGGGGAACAAAGGCCAGGAGCACCGTTGCTGTTTCCCCGCCAGGTCAGCACGAGGCTTCACAAGACGGACCGGTACTTCAGGGCGGTCACCGGAGGGAATAAAGACGTGACTGTCAATGAGCCCGACACCGAAGCCGAGACCATCTTAAAACACAAATTGATCTTTGAAAGCATTTCTTTGTAAAAAGCAACATGCAGATCCGTGTGCATGTTCCCTAGACCAAACAGTGAGAAGACATGTTTGAGAACAACGTCTCTGCGTCCCAGCTCGTCCCAGACACCAAGGGCGGCCGTCAGTCCGGACGCAGGGTGCCGTGACTGGGGAGGGTCGTTCGTGTGCCGAGAAGCGCGTCGGCACATGTGCTGTGATGGGACGGGACGCCATTGGGATTCGCTTTGAATCCTTCAGCCAAGAGAAGGAGAAAACGCATCCCCGTGATAAAGCGCCGCCGAGCGCCCCCCACGGGCCTCCCCTGTGCCGGCCGCTGGAGAGGCCGCCCTGGGCGCCCTTGAACGTCGCCGAGTTCCTGCGAGTCACACCCAGTCCAGGAGAAGAAACATCGCGCACTGGACAAGGGCCCTGGACGAAGGCGGACCCAAAAGCAACAGGGTGACGCTAAGGCCGCTGGGGGCTGGGCTGAGCTACCCCTGCGTTTCTGTCCCTCAGGGAACATGCACTGACCGGCGTGCACGTGGCTGGCCGGCTTCGGCGGTTTTGCCTCGATGGTTCCGCAATACAGAGGAGAGGCCGGTGAGACGCCGGAGCTAAAATACAAACGGGGAGCTGAACCAGGGCGCCCACTTACCTGTCAGAGCTGTTCCAGCAAAACACACACCGCTACGTAGATGTGAACACACAGTATTTAGAGAACGACTACCCAGCCTACTCTTACCTTTCCCGGAAATAAATCTGCATTTCAATAAAAGCGCTGTTTTATAATCTACATTCTATCCTGAAACAGCAGTGTTTCACATTAAAATAAACTGAGCCACCAGTTTTAAACAAGGTGGACACCAGCAGAAAGTGCTTCCAAACAAGGTGGGTATAGTTGCGAGCTCACGAAACTTTAAATCCTGCCGACTGATACAGGGACACAGGCAGCCCCGCCCCCCCGGGCGGACCCCTCCGTTACCCCCCCCCCCCGGCGGAACCCCCGGGGGTGCACCCACCTGGGCAGCACTGAGAGATGCGTCCCCAGGCGGGGGCGTGGCTGAGACCTCAGGAGAGCGTCCAGGTCGACCTGCAGCAGCGTGATCTCACTCCCAAACAAAGAGGCGAGCACACAGAAGGCCTGCGGAGGCCGGAGGGGCCAGGCAACTGAGACAGGACGGCGGCCGCGCGGGGCCGACTGCCGCGTGCACGAGCTGCGCAGCGCGAGCCTGCGCCCGTCAGGCCGGAGCCGGGCCCGAAGCGAGGGCTGCGTGCGCCGCACGGGGGTCTTCACGCCCGCCTCGCAAAGGCCTCGCCTGCCCAGCCCGCCCCCGCTCGGGCGGGAGAAACGAGCACAGTTCACACAGACAGACGGACGGACAGATGCACCCACAGACTCCACGGTGGTGAGTGGGGAGGATTGACCTTATCATCGCTGCTCATCACAGCACACGATCCAGCCACTTTAATGGTGAGGTTCCGAAAGTCTTAATTTTCAGGAAAAAGAAATGAAGAACCAAAGTTTGGGGGTCAGGGAGGGAGCTGACCACTCGGTGACACGTTTCTCCACTGTGATCCTGATGCTGCGGGGCAGGGCGGGGCGGGCCGCCAGCGCAGCTCCACACGCACATGCACACACATGCACACGCAAACGCACACAGCGCCCAGAGAACGCAGACCTGCACCTAAGTGGCACCAGCACCGCGGGGGAGGGGTGGCTGAAGGGGGCAGGAGGAGGGGCAGAGTTCAAGGGCGGTGCCTGAAGGAGGACACCAAGGGAGGAGGGGCCTCCCGTGAGGGGTTGTGGGCCTGGCCCACAGTAACCAACCGCCTCGTCCCCAGCCCCAAGTCCCCAAGGCAACAGAGGCCGGTCTTTGGGGAGCTGGAAGGGGCCGGCCCGGAATCCCTGCGTGGGGCGGGCACTGTGCTGGGCAGGGCGGGGATGGGGGAAGCCCTAGGAGGCCACTGGAGGTCGGACTGCCGGGTGGGGGGTGTGTCCTGATCCCTCCCTTGCTTCTGGCAGGAACAGCTGGGCCGAAGGTGGGGGCAGATCGGGGCGGGGCGGGAGGGGGTGTCCACCCAGCTGGCGCAGGCCCAGCCTGACCCGCCTGTGAGGCTGTGCGAGCACAGGATGCGCTGACCTCCTGGGGAGGAGCCTCGGGACAGGCAGGCAGGCAGGCAGGTGGGAGCCTGAGGGCAGGGCGCCCCCGGCAGGCCTGGCCCCAGGGAGAGGGCACTGCGGGCCTGGGGAGCCGGGGGCAGCAGCCAGCGGCCCCGGCGGCGCCCTCTGTGTGTCCCTGGGCCCCCAGGACCGCGGCCCCGCCCGAGGGAAGCCGCCCCGCGCCGCCCGTCCGGCCCTCAAGCCTGAGCGACAGCCTCCCTACCCTGAAGCCGCCCCCACCCCGCAGCAGTCAACAAAATGCCAACGTCACGCAACCGCATCCCGAAGGCTGCCTGACGCTGGGCCTCACCCTTGAAGTGCAAGGCAGCCTCCAGCTCAAAGCTGGCCAAGTTCAGCACGAATAAGCCAGCAGAGCTTCCAACCCACAAGCAGCTGGTGCTCTCAGGAGACAGGCTGTTTGTAAAAGAGAGAAACATCACGCTCGCCTCATTTGAAGCTTCAGTTCCTCAGGGTCCCTGAGCCTCACCTTAACTCTCCGTGCGTGCGGAGCGTAACAACGGAGACCCAAGGAGGGTCTGTGCGCAGAGGCAGGTGGCTGGCTCCTGTCACCCGCGACCTATACTCCCCCCACTAGGCTGCTTCAAAGTGGCCTGGGCTCTCCCAGGAGTCCACTCTCTAGCAACCAACAAGTAACTAACTCAACAGGCCACAACCTGGTCCCAACTCAACTTGGATCTGCGTCACTTCTATTTCTTCTGAGGTCACCAGAGGCTGGTGCCGCGTCCTCTGCGGGACCACGTGCGGCCGGGGTCCCTGGGCGGGGCTCTGTGTCACCGCGGCCACTGGCGGGCGGCCCCACATGTGGCAGACCAGCTCGCCCAGCGCGGCAGGGCGTGGGGGCCACACATGCCGCTCGGCCGCCGCCGCCGCTTCTCTTCCCGCTCACGAACCAGCGCCGCGCCCTGGGCCTGGGCCGGGGCCCTGCCCGCCGCCCTCCTGCCCCTCAGGACCCGGACGAGGCGTGGGAGCCCTGCCTCTCCGCCGCTCCTGCTCGTGTCCTCGCCCCTTCACCGGACCACAGGCCACCGGGTGAGTCGGACGGACGGACGTCGGACCCACGAGGCCGTGCGCGCCCTCCCGGCCACCCCCATTCTGCTCTGAGAGGCGGGCGCGCACGGGCCCAGATCCTGCCGTTGGTCGGCTCAGCCACGGCCACGCGACTGCCCCGCCCCAGCCTCTGCCCACGACGCAGACCAGGCCGGCGCCCCTGCAGGGACGGGGCCACGTGCTCAACGTGTAACCCGGGGCGGGAGGGTGCAGGCGGGGGAGGTTCCCCCTTCACCCTACGCTCCGCCTAGATTGCATGAGCAAAATTATAATACTCCCATTTCTCTTATTAAGTGAATTTAAAATAATCGATCAAGTTTACCAACTTTAAGACTTAAAACACGCCATCCTAAGAACACTTCAGGTTATTATTACTCTTCATCATTCCAAGAAATGAACCTCACTTCAGAGGCTTCCTTCCCGCAGCCCTGGTGGAGCGCGGCCTACTTACAGCCCTCGGTCAGGCCCGCGGGCGCGTGCCCGGTCGCAGCGGGCCAGGCCCAGCACGGGGAGCGTCACGTCGACCTCGTCCCCTCTCCCCGGCGCATCTGCGGAGGGAAGCTCACTGTCCTCAGGAACAGAGTCGCCGGCGACCCGGCAGGCGACACGACACCCGCCAGGTGCCGCGCGAAACGTGTGTCCCTGTGTCCGAGCAGGCCCACGAGGGACACGCAGCTTCCTCGCCACGAGGAGCGAGGTGGGGGAGGCGTGGCCCTGGAAGGCCACGAGGGCGGACGGGGCCACGTGCAGGCCCCAGAGGGGCGGGCGGGACACGGCCCCCGTGGGTGTCCCCGGTGGGCGCGGATGCGAGAAACAACGGACGCCTGAGGGCCCAGGCCCAACGCTCGGGGGGGATGGGCACGCTGGGCGAAGGCGGTTTCTGACCTGCTTTAAAAAGAAACGGCTGAAAGCCATCGGCAAACACCACACACACACACACACACACACACACACACACACACAGATGAACTAAAAGAAGAACAGTGATGATAGACTTGAAGGTCAGCAAAGACACATTTTCCGTACAACGAAAACTGACGGACTGCAGTCGCCTGTCAGAGGTTCATCAGCTGGGTTAGAAGGTGAGTTGGGAGCAGCTGCCCCCCACCCATGACAGCAGGGCGGACACTGGGGCGAGCACCCGGAGGGCGGGGGCAGGGCCGCGGGGGCGCGGGGGCAGGGAGCGCCGCAGCCTGCTCAGCACGGAGAAGCCGCAGGAGGCCGGCTGGCGGCGCCCCGGACCCCCAGCGCCGTGGCAGCCACCCCCGCACACAGGAGGGGCGCTGCCCCCCACCCTCCCTGCCTCCTGCCCCGCACCCCAGGCGGGGCCCTGGGCCGGCTGCGCCGAGGGCCTGCGGGTCGTGGCCACGTTACCTGGCCGGCCGCTCGGCCGGGGCCCAACCGTCCTGGCGCAGAAACTCTCGGCCTCCTTCCTCAGGTCGATGCGCGTCACACACCGATAATGGTGGCTTTCCACCAAACTGAAGACACAGAGCTGGACCAAAGGTGGGGACAAAAGGCAGAAAAAGCCGATGAGCAAGGGAGCTGGGAGCAGGCAGGCCAGGAGGCCGGTCCCGCGGGGCCTGCGGAGTCCCCGAGCCTCTGCCCTGGGGCCGGGCCCCAGACGGCGAGCGTCCTCTGCGGACAGGACGGGGGCCCTCAGGGGGGGACCACCCCGTTCCCAGGTCCCGCCTCCGAGAGCCTGGAGCTCGGCGCGCGGCCCGAGGGCCTGCCCCACCCCCGACACACCACACCAGCACAGCCCACCGCCCACATCATCCAAGAGGAAGACACATCTCCCTCATGAAAGCCTCGCTGTGACGCTGCCGTCCACGCAAGGCAACAGGTGTGGCTTCTCGTCTGGCCCCGGCACAGAGCCCGCAACCCCTTGCGGCCTCTTGTGAGGTTCACGTGACCTGAGGGGGGCTGGCTCTCCGGGGCACGTCCGGCCCACCCCCAACCTCCTGGGCGGGCGAGGGGCCAGAGCCAGTGCTCAGTCACCAAAGCTAATGATTTAGTTAATCAATGGCACGCACGTGGTGAAGCCTCCAGGAAATCCCGAAACTGCGGGGTCCCCACAGCTCCCCGGCGGGCGAGCACCCCTTACTGGAGGCCGACGTGCCCACCTGCACGGGACAGTGGCGTCCGCGTGGGGGACCCCAGCTCTGCCCCGTGCACCTCCGCGCTGGCAGTTGTTCTAGAGCAAATGGCAGCTGCGAGGGCGTGTTTCTGTGTCCCGTGAGCGCTCCAGCAGGTCAGCCAAAGCCGAGGAGGCCTGGGGACCCTCTGGGCCACACCCGTGCGGGCAAAAGTGGGGGGAACCTGGGGACCAGGGACCTGTGACGGGCCCTGGAGTGGGGGACGGCCGTGGGGGACGGGCCCCCCACCCACGGGGCCTGACCTTGCCCAGTCTGAGCTAAACCGTGAGGCGCCCAGCTGGTGTCGCTGGGACCTCTTGGTGTGGAACCGGCCGCCTGCCGTCCGGCGACCGGCGTGCCGGGAGTAAGTGTCGCCAGGGGAGGCCTGGGCCCCTCCTGACGGGACACTGTCCCCAAATGCTACCGACGCCGGCAGGGAGAATGGGACCGTGCTTGGGGAAGCAACCCTGAACTGCTCTCCCAAAAACCTAAGTTTGAAAAAGACCACCTGTCCCCAAATCTCTCTGAACGGACGAGGCCGACAGCAGGGCGGCGTGAGAGGCTCTGGGCCGGCGGTGGACGCGGGGTCGCCCGGGCTGGGGCGGGGGGTGGCGCTCACCTGGCCCTCGGCGCACCCGGCAACCAGCAGCCGGCTCCCTGGGTCCACAGCGAGGCTCAGGAGCGGGGAGGCTGCGGAGGGGACAGGCCCACGCTCGGCCTCCAAGGCGCTGGCAGAGCGTGAGCGGGGGCTCCGTTCCGCTGACCCCTCTCGGTCACGTTCCCACTGCCCTCGGGTAAGGTCTTCCCAGGAAGCGGAAGCCGAGCGAGTACAGCCGGGGGGTCTCTGCGAGCGCGTGGCGGGCGGGGCCCCGGTGGCCGGGGCCCCGGTGGCCGGGGTCCTGGTGAATCCCGCCCGTCTGCCCGGCACCCCTCAAACCGCCCCCACCCCGACTCCCGGCAGCGCCATAACCCAGGGCGAGAGCGGCGCGTCTGGGGGCACCGCGCCCCCGACACAGCGGCCCTGGGGGGCCCGGAGGGCAAAGCCGTGTGTCAGGGGCGAGAAGGGCCGCTGGATGGGTGGCTTTTTTAACCTGCTGCCTCCAATGCTTAAGACATATTCTGAATCTAAACTGTCAGGAATTTAGAAGGAGAGTTAAGATAAATGGATACTCAAAAACACTCCCTGTTCTAAAAATCTATAAATGACAAAATCGTTTGTAATTGTTTTCTCAACAATCAAATAATTCCACATTGTTCCAGAAAGATAATTGCAACATTGTTCCAAGAAACGTCCTTTGTCCCTGAGACTGGTAACACTCAAGACATTGTGGTATCGGACGCTTCAGGCAGCTCAGTAGCCTCAGGAAGGACTCTCGCTCCACCCCGTGACAGGCACCTGGACGTTCCCAAAGCTGTTTCCAGGGTTCGCCCCCCAAGGCGGCGGCCACCTTGTCCTAAGCCAGAGCATGAGCCCACTGGGAGCGGGGGCTGCGGAACACCAGTCGCCGAAGGTGCCTAGGGCCCTGCCGGGAGGTCCCGCTGGCCCCGGGCAGACCCTCGCGCACACCCCTGCACAGCCTCCCGGCCCCGCATGGGACCGTGCACAGAGGTCCGTCGTGACAAGGGGCACACTGTGAGGAGAGCAGGCAGCGACCCAGGAGCAATGCCGGGCCGGACAAACGCCTCGTGCCCGAGCAGCGGAGGCACGGTCAGCCTGCCCCCACCCCCGGCCGCGCCCTGGCCCACGGGCGGGCCGGGCGGCCCTGCCAGCACAGCGCTGGGCTGCACCACGGGGCCGCAAGGGGGGTGGTGCTGCCCCTGCGCCTCCGGTCTCGCATGCCCACGCTTCCAGGTGAAAACCGCGGGAGTCAGCTGGGCGTGAGGCAGCTGTTTCTATGAGCCACTCGTGCGCCCAGGGGCCCTGGGGGCTCGGAAGTGCACCGAGGGGACGTGACGGGGGTCACTCACCCGTGAGCACTGGCGAGCTGTGCACCGGGCATCCCGCGCGGCAGTCCCAGACCTTTGGACAGACACAGGCTCCTTTAGCAGGGGCCACGCCTCCCCCGTTACTGTTTGCTACAGCTTGAGCTCACACTTCTAACCAATTACCAATCATTCTAGGTAAACGGTTTTCCAAAAGAAAAACAGGTATTAAAATAAGTATATATAATAAAATCGTGCAAACACAATAAAAGGTGTCAGGAAAAAACCACATTTCCAGAAATAAGCACCTGTGGGTGCGGAGGACCCGCGACGAGGCACGGGAGCCCCCAGCCCTCCGTCTGTGTGAGGCGGGGGGCGAAGCCGGCCGCCTGCTCGCGACCTCACGCCACCTGCACGCGGCACGCCCGGCCGCCCTCCTGCGAGGGCGCGCTCCGCGCCTTCCGACACCCGCTCCTCCCTCTCCTGTGGCGGCCGCCTGTGGTGAGGGGCATCACCCACCTACTTCCATCATTTCCAGGCGGGAAAGTGAGGCGCCGGGGGCAGTGGGCCCGCGGGCGGACCCGGCCGCGGCCCAGACCTGCCCCAGCCAGCGGCGCCGGCACAGCCTGCAGGCGACCGCGGGGGCCCGGGCCCTGCCCTCCCCGCCCTGAGCAGCCCGGTGCTAAGTCCCCTCCAATTTCCTCCCCGCACACCGCACAGCGTCCCCCTTCCTGGCAGGGGCGCCGGCCGAGCTTGCACTTGAGCCTTCTCTGCCCCCAAGCCCCGCTGGTCCCGGAAGGGGGCTCTTCCAGTCGGGCCCCTCAGAACTGTGCCGGTACGTGGGCGTTTCCCTCTCCACGGCCCTGGGATCGGGGAGAGGGCCCCAGCGGCCCGAGCCCCCGTGGGGCTGTGGGGCTGTGGGGCTGTGGGGCTGAGGGGCAGGGCCGTCTGCGAGGTGCTGCGAGCCCCGCCCCAGCTTCCCACGCCTGAGCCCCAGCGAAAGCACCAGGCCAACGGTCGGGACGGCCCCGCCTCCAGGATGCGGCAGAGAGGAAGTCACAGACTCGGCGGCGACCAAACACGGGAGGCCCGCACGGCTGTGTCACAAGCCCGATTAAGCCCGTCCTGTCCGCAGGCTGCCCCTCACCTTAAAGCACCTGTCCTCCGACACAGAGACGAGGACGTGCGGCTGCCAGGCACAGAACTCAGCGGCGGTCACGGGGCCCAGGTGTCCCCGCAGCTGGGCCCGCACGGACTGGGTCTGGGGTGGGGAGGCCGGCGGGCCGACAGCCGCTGTTACTGGGAGGCGCCACGCATCTCGTGGAAAGCGGCTTCCCCTCAGACACACTGCACACAGCTCCCTCCTCCCACCTCGACACCCTCCGCAGGTGAACCCGGGGGTTTACACCCAGCAGAGCAGCCAGGAAACTCTCCGCAGGCAGATTCACGCCCCCGGGCCACCTGTCCCCACAGGACGCCCCGAGCCGGCCCCGAGTCCACGGGGCGGGGGGCCGCGTCCCGCTGCCTGACGCCCGCGGTGCTCTCGCGGGGCCCGGAAGGCCGCTTCACGGTCCAACACGCGACGTCGTCGCAGGACGTTACGGGGGCAGCAGCCTCTGATAATGGAGCTGACCGACGAGACCCCACGCGGAGGGTCTCGGCGCGGCCACTGACGTGGAGGCCGGCAGGGGATGAGTGGTCTCACGTCCGCCCTGACACGGGGTTTCACGGCCAGGCTCCCGGTTCACACACGGGCGGCTCCCGTTGCGGAGAGAGACGTGCGTTCACTCACCCCCGCAGCACGTTCCCAGGAACCCGCCCGATCGGGAACGGGCCGCCGGCGAGGCCCCAGCAGCCTCGCGCCGGCCCTCGCCCAGGGGACTCTCACCTCGACGTCCAGCAGGAGAACGTGGCTGCCCGCGCAGACCGCAGCCACCCCGTCGTCCGGTCGGTAGCGCACACACAGCACCTTTCCCGGGGGGGTGCCCAGCACGACACCGCGTGGCTCCATCCCTGGGGGGTGCGGGCGGCGGGTCGGTTATGGGGGGCGTGGGCACCTCGGAGGGACAGCGGGCCTCCCTAGGGCTCCAGCTCTTTGAGGGCAGTAGAAACACTGGACACAACGTCCTTCTGGGAAGGCGGGGAACTGCTCACAACAGCCGGGACAGGCCCGTTGCATGCGGGCCCCCCGCCCCGTCAGCCCCAGTGTGGGGGTGAGGGGACCAGCCAGCGCTAACGCGCCGTCAGCAGGGACCCCGGTGCCCCGGAGCCCCGGCCAGGCCTAGGGCTCGCTGCCTCTGCCGCCTGCCGACCCCGGGGCAGGTCCCCCACGGCAAAGTCCACACAGAGCTCCCCAGGCGGACGTGGGGATGGACAGCAGGCGCACGGCCCCTGCCCGAGGGGGCTGCCCGCTCCCAAAGGCCGTGGCAGGGGCGGCCGCAGGCACGCGGGCACTGGGCGCATGTGTTCCCACATGCGCACCACACGAATGCGCACCGTGTAGGGCGTGTGCTGCCTACACGCGCCCCACGTGCACATCTCTGCATGTACACCCATGTGAGCACACATAGCATGTCACTATGTGTGTGCTGTGTGTGTATCATGTGAACATGCATGGATGTGCTACATGTGTGTGCACTGTGTGCCCATGTGCATGGTTCTGTATCGATGCACTAAATGTACACTCCATGTGTTGTGTCATGTGCACGTGTATAGCGTGTGTGCGCAGTGCGGGTGCTGTGTGTTCACGTGTGTTGTATGAGTGCATGCGTGTACGTGTGTTCACACACGACCTGTGCAGTGTGCATGTGTGTTCACACGTGCCGGCGCTGTGCGGACACAGAGTGGAGCGACCACACTATGAATGACACAGGGTGGGTTAGACGGGCCATCGCCTAAAATCACATGAAAGTCGTGCTGTGAACTGTCACCCTGTAGCGTGGCCCCCTCTGCGGGTGACGGCCCCCGGACGAAACCCTGGCGCCACCGCCCTCCCGCCACACGGCTCGCTCCCGGCTCCTCAGACCCCGCCAGGCTCGCGGCGCCCGGCCCGGCCCCGCCCCGCGCCACGCCCCCTCTGCCTCCCACAGCCCCCCCCCTTCCCCTCGCGCCCAGCCCCCCACCCCCCGCGGGCCCGCATGTGCCACCCCAGGCTGAACCCCTCCGCCCGTCTCTGTGAGGACAGAGTATTTCAGCTGCCGGCCTGTGTTCGGAGTCCCACAGACGTCACGGGTTTCACAGGAAGGGAACGCGGGAGAATGAGCCCAGGGAGCGCGGGCCCCGCGGCCCGCGGGCGTGGCTCCCCCACGGGCTCCCCTACGGCACCGAGTCCGTCTCAGGGTAGGCGGCTCCCTTCGCGCGGCTTTCCAATGCGCTTCCACCGGCCTTTACCCTGGAGCACTTGCTCGCGGCACTTGTCCAGGCTCCAGGTCACCACGCGGTCCTGTGAGGCCGAGCAGACCTGCAGGGGGCGCCCCACGTTCCCAAACGCCGCGGCAGTGACCGGCTCACGGTGTCCTCCCAGCGTCAGAAGCTAAAAACCCACACAAATACCGCAGATCAGCGGTCACAGACAAAATAAAAGAATGTAACAACACAACCGAGAGCCTAAGAAATTAAATGGGTTGAGCTCTCCCACTGTATCGATTTCACTTACCCACTTACTAAAATTCCTGTGCTCCACTAAATGGGCCTCTCAGGTCAAGCATTTCACTGTCATTCAGCATCACGAACGACAGCAGCAAAGGGGTCAGCGCCCGCAGCCCCCGCGCACCCCGTGTGGTAACCAGGCGGCGCCCGCGGCACCCACTGCGGCCGCGCGGGCCTGTGGCTAAGGCAGGCCAGGGGGACCCGGCGGAGGAGGGGGTGCTCGGGGCGGGCCCGGCGGCGGGACAAGGTGAGCCAGGTCACCCGGCCAGCCTGCGGGAGTCCGCACGGCGCCCTAGGGAGCCCTAGGGAGCGGAGGGCAGCGGAAAGAGGGAAGGGAGCGGGGGCCAGGCTTCTGCTCCAGAGACGGAGCATTGCCGCAGGCGTGGGAGGGAGACCGCGCGGGGCACAGGGGAGACCCAACACTCCTGGCGGGCGCAGCGCAGGCCGGAACTGAGCCGCGGAGACTCGGACAGTGGACACGGCGGGGGTGGGGGAGAGGGCGACAGCGAGACACTCGGTGTCATGGCTGAGAGGCTGGCGGCGGCAGCGGCACCGGGAAGGAAGGAGGCCCAGCAGGAGGACAGGACAGAGCCAGGCAGACGGGCCTGCCCCGGGGTCGCCGTGGACACCCCGAGACAGCAGGCGGGCTGAGTCAAGGGCCGGCGCCCAGCGCAGCCCCGGGGAGCACCCCTGCGCCCGCGGGAGGCCGGTTCTGGGCAGCGAGCTCCGGCTGAGAGTCACAGGAGAAACGACACAGGATGGGCGTGGACATACTCGGGGGCCCAGCAAGTGACCAAGGCCATGGAGAAGAGAGACTACAGAGAGGAGGCGGACGGAGCGCGGGGGCTTGCCTCCGCACCCATCCAAGGCCCTGGATCTGGAACCCCGACTCCTCCAAAGGCTGGCAAGGACGGACCCCCCTCCCCCGCCCATGGCCACTGGGAGCGCAGCCTGCGCGGCCGCGTGGGAAGGCCGCTGGCCGGTTTCCGATGCAGCCACACACACACTCACCGCAGGACCCAGCAGGCACACTCCTCAGGGTCTACCCGAAGGAGCTGAACATCTATGTCCACACAAACGCTTGCACACCGACGTGTAAAGCCGCTGGGTTCAGAAATGCCAAACCCTGAAAGCAACGAGGTTTTCCCCACCGGACAAACGGACACGCTGTGTGCGTCGGAACAAGGAACGTTAGTCAGCACAGCAAAGAAACGAACTATCAAGCCACAGAAAGACATAAAGGAACCTCCCGTGCATACAGCTGAGAGAGAGAAGCCACTCTGGAAAGAGGCCGTGTTGCAAGGCTCTAAGCACGCAGCATCCTGGAAAAGGCAGGACCGCGGAGACAGCGGAGATCGGCGGCTGCCGGGCCGTCGGGCGCGCACGGGCGGCCGCGCAGAGCACAGGGGAGTTTTATGGCAGTGGAAACGCTCTGCGTGGTGCTGTGGCAGGGGACACAGGACAGCACGCCATCATCCCAGCCACCACGAGGGGACGAAGGCAGCCGTGAACACTGGGGGTGACGACGCGTCGGCGGGGGTCCCGTTCTGCGCCCGACGGCCCCTCGGGTGGGGGATGTGCAGAAGGGGGGCTGACTGAGTCCGTGTGCGGCGAGGGGCGCGTGGGAATCTCGGTGCCTTGTTCTCGGGTTTGCCGTGAACCTAACGCTGCTCTCAGAAAATAGAATCCAAAAATATGGTAAAAACTGGGCAAAAAGAAGAGCAGAGCCACAATTTCAAAGCCGGGTATAAAGAATGTCACTTCACAATATCAACGAGTCCATTTCATCAAGAGGACACAAAAACACTGAACGCTTGCACGCTTAGTGATAGAGCTTCAAAACACACGGAATAACGCCAGGGCAAGAGGGAAAGACAAAGTCGCGCGTAGTCCTCGATTCAGTCGCACTTGTATTTCCATATGCGTCTCTCAGTCACGGACAGAACAAGAGGGCGTAAAACCAGCCAGACGCCCAGGGTTTGGAGAGCCGCATAAACCCATCCAACCTGATGTTAATGAAACCAAAGACGTCTGGAGCACCTGTACTCACAATGGAGTAGGAAGAGCCTACGTGTCCTCCGGCAGAGAAATCAACAAGCAAACCGTAGCACACCCGTGCAGTGGCGTTTCACTCAGTGACGGAGAGAAGAGACTATCGACACACGCAGCAATATAAACGTCTCAGAATAATTATTCTGTGTGAAAGAAGCCAGACAAAAAGAGTAAATACTGTCTGACTCCACTCATGTAAACTCTAGAAAATGCTAACTAATCCAAAAGCTTTTATTTAGAATACATTTTAAAAAGTCCTTCAAATTAATACGAAAAATAGACTCTAATAGAAAATGGCCAATAAATGCACACAAAGGTGTGAAATGCCAGGAGTCAGCAGGAAACTAAACCGCGACTCAGTAGCACTACACCCACCGGAAGGGCTGTAACTAAAAGGCCGGAGCGTGGGTCTGGCTGTGGATAGGCTGGGACTCCAAGACGCTCTCGGCGCGCAGACCGGCGCCCCCTTTGGAAGCCCCTCAGCATCAGCTACCAGGCTGAACACAGGATTCCCGACGGCTCCGCAGGCACACACACAGCACACGGGAGAGCACGTGTGTAGCCACCAAACCTGGGATCAAAGCCAACGCCCAGCCGCAGCCGGTGGGTCAGCGCAGCCACCGCCTGCGACAGAACATAACGCGGAGGAGTCTGGGCAGCACAGCGGCGCCCGTCCGGGAGGAGAGGCGCGGACACCGGCTGACAGGTAGCGGCCGCCCGGCGGCGCCCGCTCTGCTAGCACCGCCACAGAGCACACGGAGGCCCTGGGGCACGGTGTCCTGCGTGTTTAACAGCTCACTGCAAACGTGAGGCAGGTCAGGCCGAAGACCTGAACGTACATCTCTTAACTCGGGAGAAACATCAAAATACATGTTTCCCTTTATCAGTGAAGAAGGGAAACAGCTGCTACTTTTAGCAACGTGACTGCCAGGGGGACTGGGAGCGAAAGGAAAAGGCCCAAGCACAGCAGCGGGGGCCCCACGGAGCTCGCTCCCTCGCCACCGCCAAGCCCCCGGGGCCCGCCGCGAAGGCGAGGGTGAGTCAAATGCCAAAACATGGGGCTAGAATTTACTTGTTCATTTTGTGAAATGAAACCTGTTTTTATTAAGAGTAGTCCAATAGTTGGTCACGACCATTCTAAAACGTTAATGTCTTTAAAACGGCATTTAATGGAAAAGATTCTGCAATAAACATGGGAAACTTCCTTAAATGTGTTAATATTAAAAACCTACAAAATTTCAACGTGTCCTGACTGGGTTAGGATGAAACTATTCTCGCTCACGTCCTTCCTGAAGCACTTCTTCAGTGAAGTGGTCCAGGACCGTCCGTTTCACAGAAACACTTAACAGAAAGCTTTCCTTGTGGGCGTATTTTCCCCTCGGCTGTCAGCCCACTCCACAGAGGGCGGCGCCCCACACGGCGGCGCGGGGGCTCTCGGGGTCCCTGGGGCTGCGCACCTGGCCCGCAGGGTCAGCGCTGCTCCACACGCAGAGGCCGCAGCGGCCGGGCGCGGGGAAGGCGCAGAGGGGCGCGCGGCAGGCCAGCGGCACGGGCGCGGTGTGGGGCCAGGACTCGGCCAGGCGCTCCTCGGTGACGACGCCGGCCTCGCAGCCGTGCCTCGCAGGGAAGGTCTGTGGTCCTTCCATCTCCACCTGGAAGCACAGCCCACGACGACGGCCATGAGGCTGCGCCAAGCCAACCCGCGTGAGTCACGCAAGTGGGGCTGCTAATGGGGGCTCACACGCAGGGCACTGTCCCCTCCCCTCCCCGCTCCAGGGGAAGGAAAGGCCCCTCCAGGACTGTGCCAGGAGCAGCTCAACCTGCCCGCACTTGCGGAGTCGCCATCCCCACGGGGAATCGGGGCGCCTGGAGCCGAAGTGGGGGGTCTGTGCTGCCTGGGGCCACCCCAGCTGCGAGCCCTCCCAAGGCCACATCGCCTGGGCGGCGACGGTCAGGCCCTCGCCCGGGCTCACGGCTCACTCCAGGTGCCGCGGGCCCTGGGCACGACACAGGAATCTGGGTGGTCGAGGTGGGCGGGGCGGCGCTCGCCCAGCGGTCAGTGAAGTAGGAAACCGAGGCTGGGGGCCCAGGCTGGAGAAACAAAAACAAAACACACAGTGTTGAGCATGTGACAGCACATTCTTCTCCAGGTTGCCAACTTGGTCTTACTCTTTTTTTTTCACAGCTACCAAGATGCAGCTGTGAGCTTCATGTTAAAAATTTTTTAAAAAGGGGTTAGGGCAGCAAAGCTCCCAAGATTTGCTTTACAGACTCTGCGATTTAAAGTGGGCGGGTCTGTCATGGGCTGGGCGACCAGCCCCAGGGCGGACCTGCAGTCACGCGGCCCCGCCCTGAGCATCTGGAGACCGGACAATACACACGTGAAATTGTGCTTAACTATTGTCTTGTTTCTTTACCATAAACTGCCTCTATCACTTCTATAATGCCTATAGAGTTTAGCACAATAACTTAAAAACAATAGTACATTTCTGTCCCGATTTACAGTTTGCAGACCACCTCCGTAGATACGAACATGCAGAATTGTCAGCATCAATAAACATGGTACAGCCTTTCACTCTTACAATACGTCTTCAAAGTTGCTTCTTTTCCCGCTTTACGGGCCCTGAGGCGGCGCCCACCCACGGGGTTCGGCGGCGAGTTCTGGGCGGGCCGCAGGCACGGAGCTGCCGGCGCCCCGGCTCCGCCACCCGGCACCCCCGGCGGGAGCGCTACGGCAAGACTCGAAAGGGCGGCGGGCGACCCCAGCGTGAGCTCCCGGCGCCGCCGGAGGAGGAAGGTGCTCCCACCGCCCGGTCCGTTCCCCTGTGTCACCTTCTCCCGACGGCAGGCAAGTAAGACCGAGGCAAATACCAGCCGCAGGCTGTCACGCCACCGTCACACGCCCCACAAGAGGCCGCGAGCTTGCCAAGTCCGCGCTCAGCCCCGCGCGCGTCCCCTCCCCGCAGATATTGGGGTTTGCGCTCCGCCGGGGCACTCCCACGCGATCCCGTCGGTACCAACGCCGACTGAGGCGATGAACCTGCGCCGAACCCGGCAGCACATCGCCTCCAGCAGGGGCCCCGGACGTCGGTTCCGTGTGGACGCAATAGACGTAGATACAACCCCGCTGCAGGACGCTTTTGGACCACTGGACACTGTTCGCGAGAGGAACAGAGACCGGTAACGGGCCCAGAGAACGGCCCGTCGGCGCGCCCGTCGCTCGCTCACTCGGAGGCCCATCCGGCCCTGCGCAGAGCTCGCGGCGGCGGCGCTCAGTCGAGGGAGGCGAGCGCAGCACGGGGTCCTTCGCCCCACCTGTCTCTCACTTGGAGAGCCCGAGACCGAAGCTGAGTTCAGGTGAGCCCGCCGAGAGCGTCTGGCTTGCGCCCCGCCCCTCTCCGTCGTCTTGGTTACAACCCACGCACCGCTGGCGCCACGCCCCTCTTTGTTCACGCGAGAGAGGGGCTCGTCACTTCCGGGGATTCCTCCCTTCTGATCCCTCCCCTTCTTTCCGGTCCGTCTCATTTCCTGGCGCCGCCGCACTTCCGGCTCCTCCGGAGCTGCGTCGGGCCGCGGGTCCCGTGGGAAGTGGTGCTGCGTCCCGCGCAGGAGGCCGGCGCTGCCGTCCAGCTGCCGCGCGCTCGCGCCGCCCTCCCCGAGCCCGTCCCGGGCCAAGCCGCCGCCTGAGCTCGGCCGGCTCCTCCGGCCGCCCGCGACCGCCCGCGACCGCCCGCTGCCGAGGCTCCGACGGGCGGCCGGACGCCCCCGATGTGGCCGCGCTGCCCCGAGCGCGCTCAGCGCGTCTGGTGGCTTCTCTGCGGAGCGAGCGGGTGAGGCCTCCGCGCCGGCGCCGCCGGCCATGGCCGCCGCCTGGAAGGGCGCCCTCCTGCTGCTCCTGGCGGCGCGGGCGGCGTCCTGGGGCGGTGCCTCGGAGGACGAGGACGAGGACGTCCCGGCGGAGTGGGTCTTGCTGCACGTCGTCCCGGGCCAGGTGGGCGCTGGCAACTACAGCTACCTGCGTCTCAACCACGAGGGCAGGATCGTGCTGGCGATGCGCAGCGTGCGGGGCGACGCCGACCTTTACGTGTCCGACCGCACGCTGCACCCGAGCTTCGACGACTACGAGCTGCAGGCCGCCACCTGCGGTCGCGACGTAGTGGCGGTGCCCGCGCACTTCCAGCGCCCGGTGGGCATCGGCGTGTACGGGCACCCGTCGCACCGCGACAGCGAGTTCGAGATGAAGGTGTACCTGGACACCACGGCGCCTCTCGGCGACGGCGCCACCCCCGGCGGCGCGGGGGCCGGCGCCCCGCACGCGTACGACCCCGAGGGCGCGCCCCAGGAGGAGGAGTCCCTGCTCTGGACGGTTCTCATCGGCCTTTTGAAACTGGTCCTTGAAATCCTTTTCTGACGGTCGGAGCGCGCCTGGATGCTGACCGTGGACCTGTGTGGGTGGCGGCCGTGCGCCGTGAACCGGCTCCTCGCACCTGGCGGGAAGCGCGCGCTTTTTCTAGTTGGGATGGGAAACAAAGCCATACAGTCGTTACCTCAGTGACCCCGGAGGAGGAGCAGCAGCAGCAGCCGGTTCGAGATCCGTTTTCCTTCAAAGATTAAAATTCCTGTAAAAGGAGTCCGCACAATAAAGTGTTCGAACTCCGTTCTGATTAGCTTGTCAGGTGCCGAGAAAGGACGACTGCGGTGACTTAGGTTTGTAGGAAAGGAATCAGAATTGAGCACCCTCGCTGCAGGTGCACAGATCGGACTGAAAGGTGGACGACGCTGTGTTACTCGTTAGCGATGCTGAAGGCAGCGACCGCAAGCCTGGGGAGCGGTGCTGGTTCCGCACCCGCGGGACCGGACCTCGGCCCCGCGCACCCGTCCACGGGTTGGGGGGGGGGCCGCTCCCGGGCGCCTGTGCCCGCTGAGGACGGCTGTCAACCTGGCCGCTCCGCGTCGTCACGCGTATTTTATCACCTCGAGCTGCCTAGGAAGAGCCTTCCGTTACTAAATTAGTGATGGCCCCCGGGGTGGGCCAGAAACAATCGAAATTAGGAAAATAATGGGATAATTACTTCAAATGAAGTTGTCTAATAGAAGCCAAAGTACAGAGAAATAAAAACCTTTTGGAAGATGAACTATTTTCTCTATCTGAAATTGGTTCCAAGAGTAAGAGTAACTTGTAACAAAAATCAACTTGCAGATGCTAAGCACATAGTTAATTTCAAAAAATCGTTTATTGGCATAAAAATGAGAATTGTAAATAAATTGGCACCAGGTAATTCACTTAAATGCGTATTACAATATTGGGGTCATGAAACTATTTTATCCCTCTTTGCTGGTTTTCCCCCTTCTGCCCACTTTCCTGGGCGTGGGGGGGGCTCGCTGACAACAGTCACAAATCCAGCGACCTAGGAGAAAAATTGTTAGTTAATACACGGTGAAACTCACTCAGGACTGAATTTCAAGCCCACTTAGCTCTCCTTCCTCAGCTGTCACTAGTGAAACCCTGCGGATTAGTGGTGGGAGGGGCAATACCAAGACCCTGGACGGACCGAGAGAACGGTAACCAGGAGGTCATCCGAGTGATTGACGCCACGTGGCACCCGGGTGGGGGCGGGGCGGAGCCGCTGTGCGGGGACCCGGCCCTTCCGAACATCAGAGTCCTTCCTGAAACCCAGACACTGCCGCGCTCACAAGGTTCAGTGACACAAATCGTCATAAAACCTGTTCCGAGTTGGGCCTGTTCGCAGCCCTTCCCTCCGCCGCCCCCAGGCAGCTGGGCCCCGGCACCCGGCTGTCCCCAGGGGCCCTCGCCCGGCGGGGCAGGGGCCGTCCCGCGCCCGCGCGCGGTCTGGGTTCCTGCGGAGCTTCAGGTAACGGGTTCCGCTGCTGACTTGTTAAGTGATTCCCAGGAAACTTAAGTTCTAGACATTATTTGATGAAGTGTCACACAGTGTTAACTGTGCAGGTAAGTGCCGAAATTAACACAATTCGTGTGTAACTTTTCGGTCCAGCCACTGGTTGGTTCTTCCAAGCTGTGTTCACTCTAAAGCCCCCTGGAGCTGTCAGGCTGCCTCAGTGGACGGAAGTCTGGTTTAGTACGTACAAAGGCACAGCACTCGTTTTGTTAAGCTTCTGTGTTGATGGCATAAAAGCAAGACCAGGTTGATGCTACACTTTAGCTACTTTAGTAGAAACACAGGCTCATTGTATACGTTGAGCTCCATTTCCGCTCAGGCTCGGCCCTGGCCTGGCCCTCGTCCTGCAGTTGGGGGTGCAGGCAACGGCGGACGGGCGGTCGCCGTGCCGGGGCCCTGCGGTACCTACGCGGCCTCCAGGGCATCGGGAGGCGGCCCCCCCTCCCCTCGGCGGTGTTTACCTGACGGGATAGCACTGAGGCCCACACAGAACGTGTGGTAGCCCCTGTCACACACATCACAGAACATCATCTCCTCTTCGTGGTGGGGCTGTCCACAGACAATGCACGTCTTACACTCCATGCATTGCCAGGGGTAGGTCTTAATCATAGAAACAAGCTCCATGGTCATGTCCAGGCAAGAAGGGTGGCCTAAACCAAAACCAGCGTTAGTAGGATTCACCATTTCACACGGGAACTTTCAACTTAACACGGCCTAAGGACACCTGGTGACTTCTCAGGAATGGCTACAATGCTGAACTGCCCCGGAGAAGAAGAGCTGAAGGCAGTGCCTAGCCCTGAGCCACACCTTTCTGCCTGCCCTGTGGTGACCGGGGAGTCCCGGCGCCGGCCGGCCGGCCGCCAGGCCGCGAGCCCGCGAGCCCGCCCGGTACTTACCGCTGTTGCCGCACTGGGAGCAGTGTATGAGCGCCTCCGCCTTGCCTCGCCTGTTGGACTCCTTACCCTTCAGACAGATTCCACAGAGGGCACTGGGAGGGGCCCTGGGCTGGAAGGGTAGAAGAGGGCTGTGAATTCGTGCCAGGGGCCCTCGCTGCGGGCGCCTAAGGAGCTCTGTCACTGTTCTGCCCCATCTTTGCGCTCGGGAACCGGCTAACGAGGACCTCTTTGGAAGATGTAATTCGGTTCTGCTTCCTACATACGATGGCCAACCACACCTCAGATTTCATTTTAAAATCCTGTCCGCGGGGACCCCATGTCCCGAGCGGGGTGCGCATCCTGCACACGGCTCGTGCGTGACAGCCGTGTGGCGGGGGCGGGGCCCAGCGGGTGCCAGAGCGCCCGGCGTGGTGAGCAGACTCCGACGAGGCGCATCGTAAAGGACGCCCGTTTTAAGCAGCTTATATACTGGTTTGGCTTCAACGCCGGTATTTTCCGGAGCCGCGAAACTAGCTCTACAAGATCTAAGTCACAAGATCACGGTTTCAACGTGTTTAATGGAAAGACGGCTCGTGCGGACGCTGCGATGTGCGTGAGTGTGTGCGGGAAACCGAGTCGGGAGGCCACTCGCTCCGTGCCCCTTCGGGGAGGAGCCTGTGCGGGAAGAAGGCGTTCAGTACGAGATGCTAAACAAAGGTTTCAGACCAAAAAACCTGTCACTTAAAAAAGATATGGACACCCTCGTACTTTGAGTACCATTCCTTTTTCATACTAAAAACAGCCCAATCACATGAGACTATTTGGGCTTTAAAAAAAATTGGGAACACGTGGGCGAGAAAAAGCAGACGAGGCCGCTGCGCCTGCCCTCGCCAGGGGGTGGCCAGGGGGTGACGGGGGGGAGGGGCGGGCAGCGCGGCCGCCTCCGAGCCCGTGGGCGCTCCACGCACAGGGCGGCGCCGCCGAGCACCACGGAAGCGCGGGCCCGCGTGAGGCGGGGCCGGGGCCCGCACGAGTCGACGAGAGGAAAACCCCTCGCGCAGAGCCGCCCGGCGCCCCCTCAGCCCAGCCTCGCCAGGGACGCCCTCTGCCCCCTTCCTGAGTCCCTGAACCACCGCCGGCGTCAACCTGGCCCACTGCTGCCTCCACGACCTGTCGGCCTCAACAATTTGTTCTTAATTCCTTGAGCACTTTTACTTCTTAAATTGTCTTTCTTTGCAAAAGATGACAGAGGCATTCAAAAATAATTTTTGGCTCATTTATTTTAAAAAGTCAACCTTATACATAAATATAATAAAAACAGTAACTCTAAACAATCACAAATATCTCTACAAAATAATAAATATCATGGAAGTCGAGCATACATAGAAAGCGTCACGTGAACTAACCTACAGCTCCTGCGTGTGCATCTGTACACCCTGCTCCCCCGCAACAGGCCCGCGCCCCGCGCTCCAGCCTTCCGGCCCCGAGCGCCGTCACCGCCACGCGCAGGCAGGAGGTCCTCGCGGCCTCCTCCGCCTCAGCAACCATCGCTAGAAGTGCACTTCTGGGGTCTGAGCTCTCGTTCGGTTACACTAGGTCTGCAGCTGCCGTGATTCGCAGCAAAAAGCTACCCTTCCGTCCACCAAAATGAGAAGCATCTTTTGGTTACGTTACCTGTGCCACTTGTAAAAGGTATTTATTTAATACTTGTCGTTTAAAAGCTAGATACTGGCACGCTACGTGCTCTTACATCTCCCACTAACATCAAGGTAACCACACGAGATTACATGCTAAGAAGAGCCCCTCACAAGAGAGCCTGTACAAAAGTCAAAGGAATAAAACACAACCCTGGTCATTCACATTCTAGATCAATTCAAGGTCCACAGTCATTGAAATACACGCGGACACCTGTGATGAAAGGGACAGAGGGATTCTAGGGTTGACGTCTAAGCTTGGAAGCCTGTGTTGTTAAACCACTAACAACTTTCCTTACCCAACACTCTTCATCTTGACGAACGTGGAGAGGGCGGAAGGGCGGGGAGGCGGAGCGAGTGCGCACGCACGTCCGGCACCTGCCAGGGCTCCGGATAGAAACGCTTCGCTCCTTCACGCGCCCCGCGCTCCGAAAGGAGCTGCGCGGTCCACCCCCCACACCAGGGCCTGGTGCTGTGGGCAGCGGCCGCAGGCTGGGCTGCAAGCCTCGGTGTGTTGGGGACTTGGGGGAGGGGGACGGGAAATGCGTGCGGAGCCCCTGGAGACCCAGGGACAGAGCCCTGGGCGCGCCTGACGGAGACAGTCAAGTCCCCTCCGACCACGACCACGTCACAGTCTCGCTGCCGCTGGGAGCGTAAAACGCTCACCCCCACCGTTCTCAGCATCTCAGGTCAAAGCTTCACGACACTCACTGTCCTGCTTAAAAACCAGCCACAGGTCAGCGGCTCGCACGGTAGCATGAAACACAGCACAGATCTTAGAAGGCCTGAAAACTGACAGTCACACGCTCACTTCAGGTTAATGTAACCTAAATGCTGTCCTGCATGTCAAGGGCAAGCAGAGGGAGTCTTATGAAGCAAGACATCAGATACCTCACCACCTCTCTGACCTCCCGTATGTTAAAACGTCTGTACCTACGACCTTTCAGCTTGAAGCTTGCTGACATTGAGGCACATCATGGCTTATTAATACTTTTCAGAGGTTAGCTTGTAATAAGCACATTCACATCCGTGTGTTAAGTCTAAATACCGGCCGTCCCCAACTGTGGAAAACGGACCGTCCTCCGTGCAGGCGCTCCCGGCAGGGCCTGCGATCTCTTCCGCCGGCAGCAGGCCAGCGGCGGGGCAGCGCCCCCAACGCCGGCCCCCACCGGAACCCCGACCTCCACAGCCTCGCCTGCCCCCGGCAACAGCCTCGGCCTGTGCTCAGCCAGCGCACCGCCGTGCCACGTCGGGCGGCAGCCCACGGCACAACACACGCCCGGCGAGCTCTCCGAATGCAGTCTTTGGAGTTCATTTGCTTTTAATTATTAAGCGTGAACTTAAATCTTTAGTTTAAAAGTTAAGTAAGCTATATATGTGAAAACAGATACGAAAGTCACGAGCGCAGCCTGTGAACACCCCGGAAGCCAACCAACGCTGCTGAACGAAGCTTCGCTGTTCCCCAGAGGCGGAGGGGCGGCGAGTGCGCGGGCTGGCCACGTAAAGGCATTTCTACTTCAGTGTGCAGTGCGCCGCGCGGCCTTCTTGCTTCAGGGACATACGGGGACACAGGCTGTTAGAGGGACGCGGTGGCAGCCCCCGGCACCGGCCCTTCTCCACCCTCGTCCCAACTCCGTCACCTGCCAGGTGTCAGC